GGGGGGGGGTCTGAAATCTTTAATTGACAAGTTAGACCAAAACACCTAGCAGGTCTGATCGCAAATGTTAGTTTATAATAGTCCCGATAGTCTAACTCTAAAAAGTGTTTCAAGCCACAAAAAATTTATACGTATGATATAGTAAAACAATTTAGAAGACTTTTATCTTACACTTAAAGGGGGGTCTGACAGATGTTTGGTCTATATGTAGGCTTACCATACGTCCCGGTTTAGCCGGGACAGTCCCGGTTTTGACGAGCTGTCCCGGCGTCCCGGCCGGTTGACTCAAATGTCCCGGTTTGTCAGCACGACTGTCGTGGGTAAAAAATTCATATTCATTATCATTACTATTTTTTTTCAACGGTGGCAATGCATTTACCACTGTTTGCGACACACTTCGCTAGTTCAGAGAGAGAAATTGCTCTATTGTTATGTCACAATCGATATATGTTTTACTATCACACTGCTATTCATGGCCAAAGTTTTGACTGCACCTCTAAATTAATTTTTCTTTAGCCTAAATTTGCGTTAACTTGTAAATATACACAGTTAGAATTTCTGATGTCCGCTGTCTGATAAGCGGATTCGCTGATTTTGCACGCTTAGCCAGAAATAAATGAGAGTCGGTGATTTTTAATTGCATTGCTCCGCTGTTCTCCTCTGAACCTAATGACGATTTACTTTAAACCAGTTTCGTATCAGTAACCTTCGATGCATCAAACAGAAAAAATTTAAAGCTTTTTCCAGTTGTGGTTCGTTATTTTTTTACCTGATGTTGGTGTGAAGATAAAACTATTAGAATTCAAATCTTTACCCAGGGAAACCGCCAAAACTTTTACTGAATACTTGCTCTCTGTTCTCGGAAAAGTTGTTGGATTCTGGGCGGATAACTGCAGCACCAACTTTGGAGGCGTAAAAGACGAAAAACAAATAATGCTTTTTTTTCAAACTAAAAGAAATATAACCGGTATAGATTGTGCGGCTCATGTAGTTCAACACTGCACTGCGATGCCCTTTCCAACATGCAGTAGATACTTTGCCTGTTTGTGTTGTTGTCAGAATGTATGATTATTTTTACATTCACACTGTCCGAGTAACAGAGCAGAAACCATTCTGCGATTTTGTTGATATTGAATATCAACGGCTATTACAGCATGGCAACACTCGGTTTCTCCCTTTATTACCTGCTTTGCAAAGAATTACGGAAATGTTTGAAAGCTTGATAAGTTATTCAAATTCTCAAGAAGGATGTCCTACTCTTATGCTTAAATGTTCCAACGTACGAACTTCACTTGAAATTTGTCCTTTGCCAGCTCACCTACTTCAGCAAAATTATTTTAATTTTGGAAAAAGATAATAGTAATGCCTTAGATCAGGGGTCGGCAACCTACAGCCCCCGGGCCGGATCCGGCCCGCAGAGTATTATAATCCGGCTCGTGACGCTTCACTGAATTATAGTAACAAAACAGCTGTTTTGACGATTATATTTTTTGAACTAAATCATATTATAACCTTACAAGTATATAATTCACAATTACTCGTTTAATGAGCCTTTAATTTAATTATAATTAGACAAATGGCAACAAAACGCAGAAAAGTTGATGCTAAGTGCAAATTCAATGGCGCTGAAAATATTCAAATGGAATTTTTTGAGATGCAATGAAGAAAAAAATCTATATTCTATTCGAGCTTTCTAAAAATATGTGCGGCCCGCCAATGACTCGCAACCCTTAATTTTGGCCCGCGATCGACAAAAGGTTGCCGATCCCTGTCGTAGATGTCAAAGGTGAAGCTAAATTTGAAAGAAAAAGGGTAAAGTCTGGTAATTCCGTCGCAATCGCTTGTAGCCTACTTCTGAAATCCTTGGAACGCTCTAGCTAAATCGACGTAATGTTTGCGATTTTTACGAGAAATGTCTATCGTAGCTGCATGAGGAAGCCTACAATGCTGTCAGGCCAAACATAAGGACAAATTTGAAGGGTGAAATAAACTGGACTGAAGTGATTGGTCTTCAAAATTGATAAATGATATATATGTTTGGTTGGCTAGTCAGATTTTGAATAGCGATGCACTTTTCGACAAATACCGATGAAGAGATATTTATCTGAGCATGGTTCAAATGCAAGTTGGCTTACTTTGCCGGTTGAAATTAAGTGGACAGAGATGTTTAACGTTTTTTCTAACAGAAATATTAGCATTTCGAATTTGCAGAAACTCGTAGATTTTGTTTGCCGGAACATCGGCATCTGTTGAACGGATTTTCTCCATAGTTAAAATTTTTTGATCCGAAAGCAGGTTCAGAATGCCAGAAGAATATATAAAAGCACTCGTGACATGCAAATTTGATGGTGATGTCTCTTGTTATCAGTTTTATGGAAAAATCAGAACATGAATTTTTGAGAAGGGTTCCATCTGCGGACAATACTTTTGGTCTAAATAAATAATACTCGTACAAACTATTTTTTTGTGTTTTTCCTAATTCAATGATCAGTAGAAATTTACAGCCGTATATACCCTTAATGACATGGTAGACGTTTCAATATTACAAAGACTGGCCGAATGTTTGCCATATCGCACCGTCCCGGTTTTTTGTTTCAGATTCATGGTAAGCCTATCTATATGGTATATCACATGTTGAAGGTACCAGTATTTGGAGCCCTTCATACGCTGGAGAAGCAATGAAATGAACTACAGAATGTGTTGCATGTAGCTGTATAGCATTTATTTTGTTAAAAAACCCTTGAGCAAATCACCTGTTGTAGACTTCCAGTGTGTAAAATAATTTATGAAATCTCAGCTGATCTACTGCAGTCTTTTGTCTCCAGATGTTTCAGAGAGTAGTAGTAGATTTCCGTTTTTGAGGGAAGCCACATTAGTAGTGCTGTTGCATATGTCAAAAAAGGTATATTGCAGTTTGCAAAACTTGGCGTTGCTTCAAATTCAGACATCTCCGAAATCCTAGCAACAGATGCAGGAAGAACCTACAAAGAAAAATTTCCCCGGTTCCTCCGTTATTAAAGACCTGAATAATTTTAGAAATAATAATCATGATCCAAGTATTTAAATGCTCAATAGGAGATAGATCTAATAGGAAAATACGAATGAATTAATACCCAAAATAATTCTTTGTGCTATACCTGTGCTTAATATTTAACAGACATTTTTATCAAGCTATTGAGTTAAACATGTTGGTCTGTTAGTTTACATGGCTGTTTCAAATGTTTTTTTAAACATATCTTCAGAAATTCCCTCTTGATGTGTTTCCATGCCAAAACCTCATCTGGTGACAGCAAATCATTCTTCAAAAGTGAGTTTCGAGACGTCTGCAAAAATTTATATTTTAGTTACGATATTTTGAAATAAATTGCCCACAACGTTTGAACCTTGTCTACCATCTAAGCATGTATGTGTTTATATATAAGTATAACAGCCACTTTGACAAAGTATTATTTGAAACAAAAATGTGAATATCCCACAAAACAAATTGGAATTAATAAAATGTAACGGTTCCAGAAGGCATTCAATAAATGTGGTGGATATTGCAGAAGCAAAAAAGTTATTGCTATTGATCACAAATCAATAATTTAAAAACACTCGACAAAATAATTCAAAACTTTTTGGCATATCTAAAATTATAAATAGATATATATGTTGAAGCCATGTTTAGATAATAGCAATAATAGGTATCCAATTTATGTGAAAAAAGTTATTAGTACCAGCCTGAAATCAAGCAAAATGGATTATCATGGCAAACGTGAAACACCTCTTATGTTGTAATATGCAGCTGGTGACTTTGTATACAATGACAGAATGAGTCTGGGAAAAAATTATCAAGATCAGTAGAACTCCATCATAAAACACTAATTAAGTTAAAATATGTGTGTTTAATTTATGTTTTTCATACAGACGTCACAATTTCAATCACCCATCAGTCCATTTATATTCTTGCTTACTGCATTGATCACACAGCATAAATCCTCACACTGCAACTTTTTTATGATCCGAAAATACACATATCTCTTATCCAAATTTACATTACTTGACAAATCATTACTGTATTGGGTACCTATGGGAACATTTACAACTTACTCTTTTTTATGCTGAACAATCGTAGCCCAAAGCGGCTCTCTACTAGACTACATCTCCCATGGGAGCTTTAAAGTGAATTTAAAATCTTACCGGTACTGTCAATGTGCTTTCGAGTGCTGAACCGGTCCTAGGGCCTTCCCACTCAATTGATTGTTCCTCTATTTTGTTTTGTAATCTGCATTCTATCAGTTCTATAGTCAGGTATATCGTGTAATATTCTACACAACTAACTTGTGTGATAACTTGGAAATGCAACTCAATGTATCTATTTGTTTATACAGCTGCAGTCAAGCGATGATTGCTGTGGCGTTTTAAATCAGACACCAATCATTGCTGTGCTGTAGATGTAGTGTGTTAATTCTTTCAACTTTATTCATTTACCTTTTGAGCCGCTCACTGTTAGCATCAGCAATTCGATACGTATTTGTTTTCTTGTTTAATAACATTTCTTGTGTTATATTACTTTCATTAGATTCATTCTAAGAGTGCTTTAAATTTAAGTTGAATAAAGCCTTATATCAAGGTACTATATTTCTCATTCATTACAATTTATTCAACTTAAATCATTTCACAAGAGTATTCCGGTACAAGCATGGACAAGGTTTTGAGACCAGAGAGACTGGAGGTAGATCCTAACTCTAGTGAAGCATCCTGTGAGTGGCTGCACTGGAAGAAGACTTTCGATAATTTTCTAAACGCCTTGCCGTCTGAAGGCCTTGATAAACTTGGTGTATTGGTGAATTTCGTATCTCCTCGTATATTCCAAAACATTGAGGAGGCAGAATCGTACGATACTGCGATTGAGATTCTGAAAACAATGTTTGTCAAACCTCTCAATGAATTTTATTCTCGGCATGTTCTGGCAACCAGGAACCAACAAGCATCTGAAAATGTAGACGAATACATGCAAGATGCAAGCATTGAAATCGTTAAGCAAACATTGTAATTTCAAAGCTGTATCTGCTGTTCAAAACCGAGATGCTTATGTCCGAGACGCTTTTATCCGGGGGTTAAACTCCACATGGATACGACAGCGTTTGTTGGAAAACAAACACCTTGATCTTAATACGACATACGATCAAGCCAGAAGCTTAGAAGTAGCAATTAAGAATGCTGAAGCTTATCGAGTATCCGATCCTTCTACTGTGTCTGCGGCTGCTCAAAACAGTGATATCGAGAAAATATCTGCTACTGCAAATTCCGCGTGCTTTTTCTGTGGCGGAAAGAAACATCCTCGTTCAAAATGTCCAGCCCGAAATGTGTTTTGTTTCAAGTGTCATAAAAAAGGACATTTCATAAAAGTCTGCATAGGAACCGTTTTCAACCCACAAAATCCTGACGAAGTCACTGCATGTTCTAACTCGTATATATTAGGGATGGCTTTTGACAATACCCCAAAATCATTGAGAGGGTCGTCGTCTGTGATTCATATTGAAGGACACAAAGTACGCGCACTTTTTGATAGTTGCAGTAGTCAGAGTTTCATACACCCTCGTCTCATAGAAAGGTGTAACCTCCCAATCAAAAGGGACACAGTTAAAGACAAGGTAGCAATGGCTTCTCTGGCGTGTTCCATGCCTATAAAAGGTTGCACAGCAGCTGATATTGAATATCAGGGCCGACACCATCAAAAATTCATATTGAGAGTAATGGATGATCTATGTTGTGACATTTTACTTGGATATATTTAAAGGGCACTCACTTAATTTTGACGCGAGACAGCGCCGTCAGAACACAGAAAAACGCAGGAGGTCGCACGATGATTTTCGAAGCAATAATGATCTGTTAGTACCAAGTCAAGCGTGTCGGCGAATTCAACATCGGAAGAAATTTCCGGAGTTACACGGGGTTAATCTAATCAACTTGCTCTATCTAACCACGCGCAATTTAAAATATAGCTATTCTCGTCTTTCTTGAAACTTGCACAGCACTGTGTATGGCGATTACTAAACACTACATTTCATTTATTTGTGGTGGAAGTCACAATCCACAATCCTTGCGCTTGTTCGCAACAACACGTTTGCAGAAACTACCATAATTCGTTTGAAAAAGTGTTGCTGCGGAACATGTTATGACACGGGTTATCAGTGCCGGAATATAGCCGTGTCGATATCGGATCGGAACCGATATCGGCGATAAAAGCAGTATCGGTATATCTTGAATGTATGTATCTCAATTAAAAAATTTGAATTAGGAAACATTTCTTCTAAATATTTAATGTGACAAGTGGGACACGTGTGACAAGTGGGGCAAATGTTACACGTGGGACAAGTGGTCCACTTGTCCGTGGTACACTTGGGACGCGTGGTACAAGTTGTACATGTGGGTTAAGTGGGACACGTGGTACAAGGGGTACACTTGGGACAACTGGTGGGACACGTAGTGCAAGTGGTACACGTGGGTTGAATGTGACATGTGGTACACGTGGGACAAGTAGTACAAGTGGGAAAGTATCGGTGGGACACTACATTTTGGAGACGCCGCCATTTTAGTAGGGACATAGTCATTTCAGTAGGGACATAGTGGACATCGCCTTTTTCAGTAGGAACATATCGGGATTGCGATTTTAGAAGGGACATGGCCATTTTAGTAGGGACATAGCCATTTTAGTGGGGACATAGCCATTTTATAACTACCCGTATGCTATACCAAACCTTTTTTACAGCTGTATGTTAATTTGCTGCTTTTCAAGTCTTTGGGTATACTTACAGACTTCTGGACTTAGACTAAACTATGCTTTTTTATGTTTTCTGTGAAAACAATTTTTCCTAACAAATTTTGATTATTAGGCTATTATGACAATGGACCTTCCCCCGAGCATCGACTTCCTTATCCACTTCGTGACATTGGCTGACAATGCTCCCTTTTTGCATCCGCTCAGACAGATTTTCAAGCGTGTTCGTAAACATTCAGACATTACCTCGTTTTTGCGTTTTTGAACTCTATTCGTTAGTTTTCAGTTGTGTTTCGGAAACTCGAAATATAAATCAGATAATTCAATGACCACTCTGTCTTCCTAGGCGTTTTAATTTAATTGCAGTAATAAAAAATTAGGGTAGAAATAGCTGTGATAAACTAGGCTAAAATTTATTACCGGTACTTTTAAAAAATAGATTTGTTGTATGCGATTAATCATAGTGATGGTTTGGAACACATACCCCATTTTACAGGCGCCAACTCGTAAAAGCACTTGAAATAGCCCCGAAATTTTAACAATGGTAAAATATAGAAGAATTTTTGGGGGTCAAAGGTCCATAGCCTCAACGGCTGCACTGTCTAAATGCAGTGCTCTTCAGCCGGGTACGGTATAAGTTAGTAAAGTTACGTCGGAGACGTCGCCCGGGCAGCAGAACCGAGCTTTAGTTTGCGTGTACACATGCTTTCCTCGACGTTTTTTTTTCTTAATTAACGTTAGAAGCGGACAATGGGCGTTTAGACTTTTGTGACTAACTGTGGTGATGGTGAGTCAACAATGGACGTTTCCCCGACTATTGAACCCAGAAAACCTCTTCCTATATTTAGGCTCACCATGCAGCCATGCGTAGACAGAATAATCATTGAATTATTTGATCCATACTGTACGGTAATTTCCGAAACGCAAGCAAAAAGCAATAACTAACAAATAGCATGCAAAAAGATAATGTTTACAATCATGCGAGAAAATCTGTCTGTGTGGCTCGGCGGTGTGGCGCATCGTGGTAAGCGTTAGGAATACGCTCGCCACCTCATCTCTGATTACCCTTCGTCGGATCCCCATGCGGGGATGATCATGTGCGAGAGGATTGCTGGACTCCTCGCCGCGGTAGGGTGGTAGTGGTACAGGTACCTAACCGCTGGTCGGTTACGGCTTCCTCCACCATCAAGTCCATGCTTCCGAAAACAAATAAGTGGCTAACTAATCCCATACCCGACCTGGACTGGTAACCGGACGAGAGGCCGTGGTTCGCCATATGATTAAGCCGTTTTATCGGCTTTCTTCTCCCCTGGGATAAATATGTAAATCCAATCTACTACTAGTCTACTGATGCGTCGCTTTTCCAGTTTTCCGACGTGGAAACAAAGATTTTTCAAAAAATGTTGAAGATTTTATTGCTTCATTTATTAGGCTCGGCTGGAATGTTTTTCATACTTTGTTCATTGCATATTCTTTATTACTCATAATTGGCTACTCAATTGCTAGCCTAATTGCGAACGATCTTTATCAAAATTGAAACAGATAAAAATATATTTAATGTCTTCGATGTCAAATCAGGGCCTGTCAAGTTTATCTTTGATCAGCATCGAGAAGAAAATTCTGACTAACGAGGTGGAAGAGCCTGTTGTAGCAATTGAACATGTTTTTTGCTAATAAATGTGTTCGATCTTGTAAATATGAGTTTGTTGCTTAGGTTGATGATTTATTGAATAAAACAAACGTTTCCATCTTACTTGGCCTTTAGTTTATTTATTCTCATGCATAACAATATCTATAATTTGTTATTTCCACGAATTATTTCTGAAGTTAGTTATAAGGGGCAGCATTATCAAAACTCGCCCCGAGCATCAGGAGAGTTTGGCACGCCCCTGATGCAAGCGGACAATGCAAATGCGGCGCACATGAAATGTAAAATGTTGTTTACGCAAAGAATCAATGTGAGCACATTGTTACATCACAAATTATATAGTCTAGATCAGGGCTTCCCAAACTTCGGAGCTCGCGGCCCCTTTTGAAGTATTAAAATTTTTCGCGGCTCCTGTTTACGTTAAAATAATGCTAAACATTTCGAAATTATTTTATTGACACAGTCAATTCTCAACTTTTAGTAAAAACAAGTTCACTTTCACTCCGATTAACACAACTTAATTATTCAGTGTGATGAGTGCGAAATGTTTTGCAGCAAGTCCAGCCGTGGCTTAGCTAATGTTTGTCGATTGAAGGCCTCAATGAATTACGATATCTGGCCACCGACGGCATGGTCCTTATCAGGCTTTGTTACTCACTTTCAATGATCCAATTTGGCATAAGCGCCGGTTCGTGCGGCGCCAAATTATCAGGGAAAAAACTCACGGCCACCTACACAAAAAAATGCTGCCTCTGAATAAAACACAATTTTATCATCGTCAATGTGTACTTTATGCCTTTTAGAGTTCATAAACAAGTAGTAGCCTATACCTAAAGAATACAGGCAAATAGTTAACTTCTCTTATTTCTGCCATGTTCTTTTTTAAGAAGCTAAAAAAATCACTCATGTTGCAGCAAGTAGGGTTTACTTCTACTGTTACGTAACAATAGACCCTACGTAACAGAAAGTGAACAACATAGAGCGGTGAAATGAAATTATTGATTCATAATATACATCATTTACAATGATGAGAAACAATAAAACCTTTAGAATAAATAAAATATTCAATCATATATATATTAGTTGATATTTAACACAAATCTCTTAATTTTCGAAGCACACTTAGCAAAGCTCCTTCGGGAACCGCTGGCATAACGATTAAAACCGGCATCGTTGTGCAATCAAATCGGGTTTACGATCAGTATATATAGACATTGTTATGTAAGCGCGAGGATTCTACAGTGTTTCCCCGAAAATAAGAAAATGCGACCTAGTCCTCCACTTATTAAAATAAAACTAACTCGATAGCGCAATTTTTTTTTGACCCAGTCGATAGCAAGAAATCTTTGTGTAAAATTGGTGTTCTCTTTGCGGCCCCCAAAAATCGTTTCGCGGCCCCTTGGAGGGGCGCGGCCTCTAGTTTGGGAAGCCCTGGTCTAGATAATGCGGGCACGTGTCTGGGTTGGTGATTTCGGCTGCCATGCACTTCATTTGATTTATGTTGAACATTACTCCTGTTGATGCCGTCAGTTAAATTTATAACTTAAAGACACTAGTCTATTAGATTCCGTGATGATATTGCAGTACAATACGTGCTCAAAGTGCTTGACAAATTGTAATAGGTATACCACGATAAAAAAGGTTGAAAAACACTGGTCTAATGCTTAGTCTATCATGTCTATTCTGTTTTCAGACTTGTCCTGCGGCCTACTTAAATGTATTAACCCAGCTTGGTTCAGTGAATGGAGAATGGTGCTCTTACAAGACTGTCCAGATCCATATTATGAGAGAACATTTACTTACACATTTTCTAATAGAGATGATCAATCTAAAAAAACGTTCACTCTTCAACTTAATATTTCTGAGCCACAAAATATAGATGAACTTTCATCGCGTATTGCTGGACACCATAATATGCCTTGCTTTGTGGAAGGAAGTTAGTTCTAGGTTTTATACAAGCTTACTGTTTCTTTACTGTACAATCTGACAATAGACTCTATATGATGATATGCATTTACATATTATAAAGATTATTTTTAACTTTCAACTAATGCTGTAATATTGCATTGGACCTGCATTTTTCTATGTATTAAATCAATTTTAATTTTTATATCACTATAAACATCAACAAAAAAATACAGTAGGCCTATAATAATGAAATATTGCTTATTTATTCAATAAATTTGTCCATGCTAGTAATTGTTAAGGAATCAGAATACATCCTCAGTATAGAAAGATGTAAACTTTTCAAATTATTTTCTTGGCTCTTGATGTAGACTACTCTATTAAAACTGCAAGTGTATAAGCATCACTATTTATAATACTCTATTAATGCAGCAGCTAGGCAAATTGGGAGTGCAGATTTAATCTTGATATATTCCTCATCTCTGTAACCTTTCAACCAGTATGGACCAGTATTTAATATGAGGTCAATGTGTTGTTTTAGATCTGAAAGAGGCGTTAAACAAATTCGTTGAATCAGAAAAAATCAAACTTTCACATGATGTATCTATGAAACGGATTGAAAGATTTAACCAAAATCCTGTTAATGCTGCAGAAATTGAAAAAAGTGTGGCTATGAAATACGGAAAGGTAAGTAAGTCTTATCAGGTGGAGTCTGGGCGAAATACAGCCCCTAATTGAGGTCAGCTATATATACCGTCAGTGAGAGTCTGATTACGGCCGGTGGGATATGATCAATGCATGATCAATTGGGGTTGGCAAATTACTCTCAACGAGTCAAATTCTCATGATATGCTGTGATAGTACAGTAGTAGCCATAGAACAAGTGCCTCAAAATGATGTTGCCTGTCTGGGCACTGCCTCGATCAAGGTATAAATAAAATGATATATAATAATAATATAATACCTACCAGTGTTAACTCTAAGCAAATTATGAGTGCGAAAGTGCTTCGCAGTCCAAAAAAAACGTGCGAAAGTGCTTTTGCCGATTTTAACAAGTTAGGTGCCCTAGCCTTTCATATAACCCATTTAAAACGGCATAGATACTCGAAAAAGCGCTCCTCCGGTTAATATTATGAATTAAAGAGAAGCCTTTTCGTTAACGAGTTTCCTTTAAGCGAATTCATGTTTAATTAAAACAAGCCAATTCATCGGCAACCAAATGACATCTGGCTAACACCTGCCGCGGACAAACTTTCATGCAATGTAATCACGGGTGTCAGTTGCTTATTCGCGTAAACAGCAAAGACTTTCACATTTGTTACTCCTTCCATCTAACAGACACCAGGCCGACTGGAAACCATTTATATTAGTTACAGGGTGGATCGTTTGTACAAATCCGGTGGAAAAAAATCCCCCCCCCCCCCCCAAATATAAATAGCAATCAACTAATTAGGGTTAGGTGCGCTGGAAATTCAACTTTTCGATTCATCCCTAAACCTAATCTGATAATTATTAATTTGTGATGTTGAACCACTTTGAAAGTCGCCACCCGCTGTTTTAAAAGATGGGTTAACCTACGTTCCCTCCGAAATATTATGCAGGATACTCCCCTGTTTTAGGAGATAGGTTGACCTACTTTCTTTTCAAACTTTTTCTCCGAAATATTACACAAGATCACTTTGAAAATCCTCCCGTTTCGTGAGCTATCGTGACCTAATTTCTCATTTACATTATACTGTTTCAGAGCTTACCCAAAGACAAGTAATTTTTAAATGTCCACGTGCCTTGGTTTGCGTGCGAGTTAGTTTAAATCGGGCAGAAAACATCATATATTGGCAAAATGTTTAGTAATGTCATGTACTTTCAGCATTCATAAATAGCACTCTTTGTAATGCTGCTGACCTAGTATCAAATATTCGCATCACAACGCCACTTGCGAGGTTTCCATATATTTCAATTACACTAATAGGAACGATGACATCAAAGAGTTTTCTTTTGCGAAGGTACACTAAATATAACGAGGGTGATTCTTGAGAAAAACATGAATATAAAAAATAAACGAATGATATGATAATGGATCCCAAATAATTTTGAGAGTGTCTCGAAATACCAATCCATTTGATAAATAATTTTTATTCGACCACATGAACTCTGATATTCTGAAAATTAATGTTGAAAGAGAATTACGCATTCTCAGATATCGGACATCCAGTCGCGATATTCAATCGTTCATATGCACAAATCTCACATTAATAGTAATTGCTACCCAAGTTTGTAAAGTTTAGAAACCAACAAACAGAAAATAACTAACCTAAAACACAATTGAAATTCAGTCGGCAATAAATTCGTCAAGACGATGCCATACAAAACAAAAAAGATTTGATCGCGAGAGTTACGTGAGATGACTGCCGTTGTTTTTTAAGCAGAATGTAAAAAAATTTATAATTAATAAACGGGAGTTACGACGCCCTTTACACATCGTGTGTATTAAACTTCCCTGGTAGGTACTTTGGTAAGTACTATTATTATTGTACCTATACACCTGTTGGAGTATTTCGGACAATTTCGAATTTAAAATAAATGAAAACCAGACATATAATAAAGACGCAAAAGTAAAATGAACATTTATTGAAAAAGTTATTATTTAAGAAAGACAACATGATCGTACAATTCCGCCAAAACCTCGATGTTCGCAAGTGAGATGATAAATAAATACTTCCCTGTATTCGATCAATTAACTTTAGCGTATCGTTGTTCTGCCAATAAACAGCCGGGTGCAAAATATTTCCGTCCTGTGATATGCTCACAAATATTCTCGATATTATCATACCCTCGCGTATGTACTTTCTATTAGCTCTTTAGTGATCCCTTCCATCCTTGGCCAAGTCATGTTTCGAATATGTGAACATTTTATTCGACCATACATGGCCGGCGGGATGTTAAAATTGTAAACAAGAGAGAGGTAAAATCAATCGCGAATTTCGTTATAACGGCTCGTTTACGAATTGTTGCGCCTGTTATCGTCGAAAATGATTACATTTGTTGTATTTTGAGGCATCTAAGCAGTAATAATTAGGGCATGACATCATCAAAATCGTCAAGTGAGATCTTGAAATTGCAAATTCCGTAAATAAAATTGCGAATTATTCGTAACGAATTTCAGCTTTAATGACCGTCGGGGTATTGTTTTGTTGAAAATTATTATTAATGTGAGAGCGCCAAAAACATACAGTCCATACCGATGCGACTGCAATTTATATGGTCGCAATTGGTGTGGCGCGTTTATTAATAGTGTAAAATAAATTAAACGAATATCAATTATAACCAAGCCTGTCAGCGTGTTGATTTTCTGTGGGCAGGAATCGTAAAATACCATCTTGAGACAAAATTCACTTCTATTATGAAATCTTAATTTTCAGTTATTACGTTATACAAATTAACGTGTGGCAACTTTTTAATTTATCGTCGACCAAAAAAACCGCCCCACACTCGTCCAACGTGTGTCGAGCTTGAACGACAGGAACAGATTCATTCGACGACCTTTAATTAGGGAAATATGTATTTTTATTGGGAATGCAAAATAAATGTAACAAAACGCATTTTTTGTGATATATACTTGTATTTTCGGAAACGGGTTGCCCGTGAAAGGTAAAATGTTGATCTAAATTAATTGCAAAAATGTTTTTATTTTAAATGTAACAAAACACATTTTGCGATATAACCTTGTATTTTCAAAAAACGGGTGTCCTGAAAAGTAAAATATGATCTAAATTAATTCGCAAAAATGTTTTATTTTAAATGTAACAAAACACATTTTCGCGATATAACCTTGGTATTTTCGAAACGGGGTGTCGTGAAAAGCAAAATATGATCTAAATTAATCCAAAAATGTTTTATTTTAAATGTAACAAAACACATTTTTCGAGATACAACTGTATTTTCGGATACCGGGTGTCATGGAGAGTAAAATGTGATCTGAATTCACCGTAAATAATGTTTCATTCCAAATGTATCATAACGCATTTTTTTGCGATATAACTTTGTATTTTCGAAAACGGGGCCTCACGAAAATTTTAATTAAATGTTTTATCTATACTCTAACTAACGTCTGGATCAGGGAGAACTCTAGCCCGCGAAACGCCATTTAATTTAAAATAGAGAATGTTTCACGCATTTCAAAACGGAAAATCACCAGTAAGTGGACATGGATTCAACCCTCCGGATTCAGTATTTTATACCCCGTGTCAGAACTTTCTGAAGAATGGAACAAAGAACCCGTCAAACCGCCACGGAAGAAGGGGAGTATTTTTTGCACTAATAATTAGGGCGTGACAATATCAAAATCGTCAAGAAACTGGTGAATTTGCAAATTCCATAAATAAAATTGTGAATTGCTCGGTAACATTTTAGCTATAATTATCGCCGGGGTATTGTTTTGTTGAAAACACGTTGAAACTTGAGGGAATTAGTTACAATTAGCGCCTGACCTCTATTAGGCACTCCAGCACTCGAGCCCAATCTTTTTAGCATTAAGTCGCATACGTAAAATATCCTGTAAAAGAAGTGCTGTTCATTAACGTCATCTCGTCTTATGACCACGCAGAAATGCCTTTATAGCCGAATTATTCAATCACTATTTCAAATCAACATTCAGGATTGGCACAATTTCAGATTTGCGAAGTTTATCACCATAGAAATACATGAGAAAGTTAATTATCGTCTTACTCTTAATAAATATCTGCATCACGGTATGGACAATAATATTACCATTCGCATAAAATTGGGACGGTAAATTTACAAATCTTGATAGGTAATATTTAAAGCCAGCGCAAATGTTAATTTGAGTCCTCAATGTCTTCAACAGCTGTTGCCGATGTGAATGAACGGGTAAACCCGAAATATAAAACTTCGATGTCCGCCGACCCACAAGAATTCATATATATATTTGTAAAAAAGAGAGGGCGGGAATATAGATTACCCAAAACCTGGATATCGCCGCCAAAACGATCGGTGACAAGAACAATTAGCGATTACAACGGAATTAACCAGTAAAAAGGCTTTGTTGCCGATTTTTTATGTTTCCACCACGTTTATTCGGTACTCCTTAAAAATATTCGATTTAAAAATATATTGAATTATGCCCACCCCTCCTCGCATATCAATGAGAAATAGTTGTGTAAATATCGCAAAATTACGGAAAATGCCACCTCCTTTCAACATTGTGATTACAATAAAATGGCACTTAATGTGAATTTGTTGATTTTGCAAATCTGTGACATTCTGCTAATGCTAAAAGTTTCGTCTGATTTGAAAATCGTGCAGTTTGGTCACAATTCATCCAAAGCGACTATAACACCTTACTAACACTTTTTATAGTCATTTTGAATTCATCGATATCATTGATAGTCACATGACCACTCTCGTTCAAAGAAACGCCCCGGGAGCGTTTTTTTGCGGGGGAAGCGGAATCCCTGTGCTTGTATAATAATCATATTATGAACAAGAATTTTGCCGTTAATGCAAAAGCTTTATCTCCTATGTCTGCATCTCATAGGTTAGAATTCCGGTAAATATCGTTATGATATGCAGAATTGAGTTACAAAAGTACCAGTATGTTACTTATTTGTCAACTTAATACTCGAAAATATTTGTTAACTTTGAATTTTTATTCCATTCAAAATCGGAAAAAAGTGCTATTTCTCTTCAAAATCGGAAAAAAGTGCTATTTCGCAGTCCCTAAAAAAAGTTGCGAAAGTGCTTCGCAATTTTCGCAAAAAAGTGCGCTAATAGTGAACACTGATACCTACCGTATATATATTAATCTGAACGAAACAAGGGCTGTGAGTTGCAGCTGGGCAAAATATGCGGATCAGAAAAAGAAATTAGAATAAAATGAATTTGGGTTCTGAATTCAGTCCCGATATCCTTTATTAACATCTGTCACCGATGTGAACACTCATTTCTTCCAGAAATGTAAAAAACAAACTTAGATGTCTACCCACCTGTAATAAATAATACTGTACTTGTGAAGAGAAGATAAAGGCCGGTATGAATTAATTATCAACATTAGGATGTCGGCCGCAGGGATGGCCAATTCGAATAAAGTACCGTATTTCTCCGTACGTATAACCTACGTATAATACGCAGGGCTCTTTTAGGATGTGGATTGTATGAAAATACCGAGGTTAGTCCATGGAATGGGAGATATTCCATTTCGTGGGTGTGATTCTTCTGCAACAAGCATGATCTGGTTATAACGGACTTTGTCACATAAAATTAATAGAAATAAGACGGAAAGGAAACATGTGTATTTGGCAATTGCGTGTAAAATATCGATCAGGATTTTTTGAAAATTTTCATACCAATGTATAATACGCACCCCCTAATTTTGGAGATGAAATCTGGAAGTGCGTATTATACACGGAGAAATACGGTATTCGAATATCGGAGTTAGCGTTCATAAGAATATCGAATATTTGTTTGACGTTATACATTTGCTTCGCCGCTTTCAAGACGTCTTCGTTGAATGGAAACTTTCTCGATAGAAACTTGCGCATCACACACACACTCAGCACATGCGCGTTCTCGCCACGAAAATCTAGGTCATACACGTTTTCTCGCTTTGCAAAAATCTATTTCTTTCCCTGTCTCGCTTTTATTGTCGCTTCTCGCGTTCTTTCTCACATGCTCATGGATATTCGATTGTTGTTGCTTGCTTCAGTTGCCTGTATTGCCAATGAATTATATTCTCTCAGAAATATATACAAATTTATATGAATACAAATAGTACTTTTGTCAATAGACTAATATCGTAATATCATGGTACCAACGAGAGAAAGCGCCAGAGAACTTGGCTATCTTTCCATGTTTTCAATTGTACAAAATGTACAATTTCAATAAATTTACTATGTCAGAAGTTGCTATTATTTCTATTGACAGCCATTAACGATCGTACTTTGTGTACATATACTGTTGGTTTGTGGCTTTATTTCGATATTTCTATTAAAGCTTATTTACTATTTTACTGGGTTTTATTAATAAACTAAAACGAAAATGTGTTAGGTCTGATTTTAGAATGAATTCAGAATTCCAAATTTGAAAATATTATTTTAGAATGTATTCGGAATAGTTTAGTATTCGGAAATGGCCATCCCTGGTCAGCCGCCAAAACGATTCTGGTGACAAAATCAATCAGCGATTATGATAAAATTTACCAAAAAAACGCCGCATTGTTATAAACTTTTAAGTGTTCTATTTTTTCCAAAGGGAGTATCGATCTCTGACAGTCTGCATTCCTGTTGTATAATGAAATATTCGACTATTCGATAATAAATATTCGAATTATTCAATGCGAAAAACATATTCAATTTTTCACACCTCTATTCCCAACTACAGTAAGCGAAATAGATCACAATGTATGTCCAATAAGGGTTTGCGAACAACCTTGGTCTGCGATTAATCATCGATGTCTTTTTAATAAGGTCAGCGAAAAAGGGGACTTCAAAAGTTTATTAAAACCCTCCCCAGCCGGTCGTTCTGGTGCCATTTTACTTGGGTTATTTTTTTGTCAACCATTAGGCCCTAAAGCTTCACTCATATCTTTTTATTAGCGTGTGATAGAGCTCTATTCAGCAATATATGTAAAACGCACTCATATATGAAAAAAAAAAATTTTACGCCAAAATCCCAGAATTTCTATTGAACTTGCGAGATTTTGTGTCTAGTAGAGGGTTAATAATTATTCCTAATTAATTAATTTTTATTTCAACGTTTTCTTGTGTTATTTTCCAACAGAACAACACCAAAATCACTATTATAGCAAGAATGGTTACTCTAAAATTATATTATTATATCATTATAGATAAATCGTTTATAGATAAAGTGTTCATAGATAAAGTGTTCCAGCCAACTTTACTGTTATAGCAATTAGCAATGTATTGTAGTTTAACACATCAGGATTTTGATGATTTTAATATCCACTCATTTAGTCAGCACTGTGGATAGTTACATATTTCATACCTCCAATGTCTGAAGTTGATACCATTTCTATATATTTGGAATGATTATCTGTTTAGCTCTATCCCTAACCTGGACTGGCAACCAGATGAGAAGCTTCTTTTATTTTTCTGAAATAATTACGAAAATCTCACCTTCAACGAGATATGCTATGATTTTTTTTCTTATATTCTTATATGGCTTTAATTTCTCATTCAATTTTTGTAGACATGGGCTGGGTTTACGAAGTTTAGAGGTTTCGACGATAATGGAGAATTTTCAACAATGTATCATAAACTTATTCATTCTCAAGCTATGTATATTCTTTTGTCACTCGAAGAAAATTACTATCATTGTGTGCAAAAGGTAAGCAGCCTGCTAATGGGCAAGAAAGTATTATCTTTAACTATATTCCACTGAGAAAATGATCTATTTCAGGGTGGTCTAAGATTGGCGGCTCCGGGGGCTACAAATTTATTTTTGCGTTGTTCGCAGGCCACAATACTACTTGTACAAGTACAAGTATTTGTCATTTATCAAGCTAAAGCAAACAGAAACCACCAATAAACTTACTTAAACCCGTAAAAGTCTTTCTATATCCACATTTAGTGTAAAATTTCAAACTCTTCATAACGGAAAATAGCCGACCTAGACTAATAGGATCCGCATTCGATTTTTAGTTTTCTATGATGCCAAAATTGTTAGCATATATTCCCGACCAAAAAGAGAGATAACCAGATAACAATTTAGAGCATAGGTTCTCAAAGTGCTCCGTACGGAGCCCCAGGGCTCCGCGAGAGAAACCCAGGGGCTCCGCGAGCTATTCGATTACTTTTCAAATACTGACTCAAAATTTTGTAACTGTTCAAAGAAGCGATAACAGCTCAGATAAAATCTGACAACAATATAGCCTCGAAATATGGTAAAGAGGCGAAATTGAAAAAATGACATTATTTATAATCAGGAACGTAGCCAGGATTTTTAAGAGGGAAATGGTTCAAAATTGGAATCGGAAATTTCCGCGCAACATTCTTCGCGATTAAAAAAACGGATAACGAGATTTCTGTTGCGTAAAATATTCAATCCATGACCGATGCGAGCATTCAACGTGTCTCGTCGTTATAATGTAATTGTGCTCATCGTTACTCACACTGTCGGTGCAAAACACGAACAATTGAAATTTATTTTATTGCATTCGGCTCTGTCGCTAGTTTCAGAATGAAAAAAGGTACATCGCGGATCACGTGCACAATTGACTGTGTGCGGCTCCGTCGGTAGTTTCAGAATGGGAAAAAGGTACATCGCGCGCACAATTAACTGTGTTTCGATTTCGCAGTTACTACGATGAAAACCTAACATAACACCAAATTTTGTAATTTACAATGTCTATAAAAACGTTTTCTATCTGAGATGAGTCTGCTGAAAACCAAATTTGTGATCTTCTCTTCTAAGTTTCAGTTTTAATATTTTAGAATGCCGTTTTTCAATCAAGAAATTTGAGTTGCGGATTTACCTCTTTATTAATTATTATTTTTAGCATTTCATCGCCGATGGCATAATATGGTAACATAATTTTCACATTGAACTCATAATTCCCCACGAGAACAAAAAAGCAATTAACGTCGTCAATGTGTAACAATACATGTATATATATGCCGAGGTAAATTTTTGATTCACGGAGAATAAACACCGGCGGTAAAGATGTTTAAAGGTTCAAAGATACGCCATGCTGACGAAAAAAATCGGCAATCGAACAAAATGCAATCGCGCACGTTATTAGCGGCCTTTTAGGTCTTCCAAAAATGTCGAAAGGGAAAAGATTCGACCACTAATTTATTAATGTTTGTCAAGTGTGAAATTTACAGCTTCAGTATATATATAATTTATGTTTGAAATTTAAATTTATGTATGACTTGTATTAACCCTAAGGTTCAGCATTTAAATTAAGTAAAGTACTTTTAACTTGCTCAGGAATATTAATCTGAAAGTAACAATTTTAACATTTATTTTTTGGGGCTCCGTGAATAATAGTAAACCTTTTCAAGGGCTCCGCAACACCAAAAGTTTGAGAACCCCTGATTTAGAGTTTAACCCAGTGGTTCTCAAACTTTTTTAGTCCCAGAGCCAAATTTCAAAACCCTAAAGTTGCGAAGAGCCGCACACGAACAACGTGAGTTAAAATAGCAACAAAACTTAGGCACGTATTCAAAATACCAAGTCATCGTAACAACAACACACGTAACTACTAGGGTTGGGCAAAATATTCGAATGGCATTTTATTATTCGATTATCCGGTACCTTGTGACCTGCACCGATTTGCTTGGACACCAAACTCGCGCGTCTCAAACTCAATCGTGAATTGTGCGAGATTTCCTCACGGCGCTAGCTACCAGATAAAAGCAATAAATTTGAAAAGTCGTTGTCTCTGCGTTCTGGTGTTATATGCTTTTCTTTGCACCTAATGTATCGTTTCAATTTTATATTTTGCAAAAAACGTACCGACCGTTCCGTGAATTTAGAAACGGCAAACCAGATTAGGCATATGAAATAAATTTTCCCGATTTTAAACTCCATGTCATTAGCCATTTCTTGCATGACCCGAACATAATATTGATTAAAATCAAGTGTTAAAATGACTTTTTGGCGTTTCATTGTGAAAAAGGCAATTTTAGGGAGTCAGAAAATTCGAGTTATATAAATAGCATGGATTTATTAATGACCAGTCAAAGTTTGAGTTACTTGTATGAAAAACACTCAATAAGTTGTAGCCAGATAAGAAATTTTATGTACAATCAATCGTGAATTTCGTTGTAACAATGCACACTGACTCGTTTAATAATAATAGTTGCGCCTATTATCATCGCAAATGATTACAATTGTTAAATTTTGAAGCATTTGGGCAGTAATAATTAAAGCATGACAACATAATCAAAATCATTAAGTGTAGTGCTGAATTTGCAAATTCCGTAAATAAAATCGAGCATTACTCAGTACGTATTTTAGCTATAATAACCATCGGGGTGTTGTTTTGTTGAAGAAAAAAAAAACGTTAAAACTTGAAGGAATTAGTTAAAGTAGAGCCCGACCCAACTTATTTAATCTCTATTTTAAATCAACATTCAGGATACACGCAATCGCATATTTGCAGGGTTTATCTATTTAATACTAAAATAACAGGAACACCATAGAAAAGCACGAGAAACTCAAGTATCGTTTTAAAATATCTACATCTCGATTACCGTTCGCTTTAAACAGGCATGGTTAATTTACAAGCGATGATAAGTAAGATCAAAGCCAATGCAGAGGATAAAACTCAGTATAAAATTAATTTGGTTTTGAAATCAGTCCTTATTAATGTCTTCAACAGCTGTCGATGATGTGAACGCACGGGTATATTAGAAATATAAAACTTTGATATCCGACTACTCCTTATACTTGAAAAACGAGGAAGGGTGGGAATATAGATTACCAACTTTAGGATATCGCCGCCGAAACGATCGCGGTGACAAAGACAATCAACGATTATGATGAAATTAACCATTAAAATACCGCTTTATTGCCGACTTTTTATTGTTTCTAATAATTACCAAATGCAGTATCAACCTGCGACGTTCTGGATCCCTGTTGTGTATAAGAAATATTCATTATTCGACCATTCGGTATTCGTTAAAAATATTCAAACTATTCAATTCGGAAAAATATTCGATTTTGCCGACCCCTATAATAACAACCATTGAATTTGGCTTCAATTTCTAATAAGTTTGTCAAAGCGAGTCGTAATGGTGGAGGATGCAAGGTGCAGAAGCTAGTTGAGATGATCGCCATATATTTCGGGACTTATTTCATGCAATATGAATATATGTCTTTCATCAAATATCAGAAAGGGACTTTTACCAAAACTATCTAGACATGCGTCAAACCTTCATATAATAGTGGACTGCAAATCATTACTAGGAAATATTTGCTGGGCTTAATGTTAATCAAACCATATACAAAATTCCGGGGCAGCTAACGTTAGATATTAAATTGACCTAGTTAATTATAATAATTATGACATAACAATATAAAAGTTTCTGTCTCTTAATAAAGTGAAGTGCAAATAAGTAACAAAAGGGCTGCCATTAACAAATATTATCACTTAATATTGAAAAAAAAAATATTTTACTACCCTACTTCACGACAGGGAAATTTAATAAACCTACCATGCCGGATGGTGGGACTGTCCCGGATAAACCGGGACAAATGGTAAACCTATGTATCATGCATTTGATTTATTTTTCCAAGCATGTTCTCGAAAAAATGCTATTATTTGCATGTTTATTATGTATTAAATTCATATCTGATTCAAATTTTACAAATCAGGTCATCAGTGATCAAGAGAATTCTATGTTGAAATTACGTGAAAGACAAGAGTTGGAAATGCAACGTGCTTGCGAACATATTAACAGTTCATTATATACTGAAGCTGATGTAAATGAACTGGCCGATAAACAGAGTGCTGATACAGAGGTTACATAGTTTTATTTTCGATTTCTTCAAAATGAGATTTTGTAAATTCAAAAAATTGTTTTTATGATTTTTTACGCTTAATATGACAACAAATGGATATGATTTTGTTAGTGCAGTTGGCTGGATCTTATGTTCAAATATCTGCTATGGTAATTGCCGACCAATGGCCTCGAAACAACACGAGAATAGTAAAAAGAACAGTGTCAGTGGTTTCCAAACCAGCTTAGTCTGTGTAACTAAATATTAATTCATTTTCTCGACAATTTTCAAGAATTTATCTATGTTAATTTCCCAACTGTGTCATCAGAAAAATGTGCAATTTTTTGCTACATAAGATAAGTATCAAATATATCATATATATGTAGCACAAATTATATTCGGACCAATGAGAGGGTATGATGCAAACCTAAATTCCATTTATGTTCTAATTTTTTATTGTGTTTGACTCTGTATTGATTTTAAATTGTTTATTTTCATTCTTTTCAAGAGATTGCTTGGAGATTGGAGAAAAAAATATGCTAAGCAAGTAGAAAATCAAAGAAAAGAATACAGGAATGTTGTATCAAGACTATATGCTGAAATGATAGCTAACGATGGAAAAGTTGATGAACATGGCCACACTTAGTAAGAGTGATACATTGTTCATTTAATGCCATTTTATATACTTGCAAGATGATATAATAGGTAGGGCTAGATTGAAGTCTTTGACTTCCAACTTGTACAACCATAAACTTGTATAATTAGTGATTATTAGACTGCAGAATTTTAGTATCGAAATATCTATGGTTAAAACAGCATAGGATAAACGCCAATGGCATTAGTATTATTATAAGGATTTGATAAAAGAATAAAATTGTATTTTGACTCCTGACATACAAAATTTTTTATCATTTATGACAGTGATGCAAACATTTTGCCAGCATTTTTCCCGGTCGAATGGACATTCACTATTTTCTAACAAGTAATTCTATGCCCTACTTCTTTTCTCAGTAGCTTTTTCCTTGGTATTTCAGTTGTTGCGCTTTGCTCATAAATCAGTCTCCTTTATTGCTTTATGCAAATTTCCTACTACCATGCCCCATTCAATTCAAGAGTCTTTCTGCACACGAACACAAATATATTTCTGTAACGTTTCGTCTGACCGAGGTCAGACTTCTTCAGACAAGCATTTTACAACTATAACAAGAAACGTAATTGCATGCACATAAATATTGGTTTCAAATGTTGGGATAAAATTGACTTAATGGCATTTCTCCTCATTCAAATTAATATATCAGTTCGGAAATCGTAGAAATGTTACTTTATCAGGAACTTGTATTGATAATCCTTTCAGATCTCGCGATTTTGCATGCAATTAATAAGTTGTTACTGCACATAATTTACATGTTGAAACCTTGTGCACGACAGTGTAAAAATGGGTAAACCTACCATAAAAGACTTCCATACCGCGTATCTTGTGGTATCCCCAAGAAGGTGGCCGGAGTAAAAAACACAAAAATGGTACGTTGTCAGTAAAAGGTAGAGAACCACTGCTCTAATGAAAGGGGTCATGGAAACAAGATATTACTTAGCTTTGCACAAATGGCCGACGGAATCCAAGAGCAACGCTACATTTCCCAAGTAATAAAAATAAACTATTGCGTCGACATAAACATATATATAAGATCTTTCTACGTATTTTAAATGTAGGATGGGCGGGGTGTACCAGATTTAGGGTTAAAAGGGTGTTCCATTAAAAAAAAAAAGTTGACAAGCACTGTTCTAGAGTTAGGTGTAGCCTTCCTTAGACAGACGACGTTTGGTTAATATTTGCACGTTCTATTTCATACATCTACTTAATGTCGACCATTATTAATCCTTAGTTAGCTGTAACCATGTCGGGTTGTTCGCTCTTCATTGTTTTATAAATGAGCTGGCTTTTTGCCGGAGAGAAACAAATGCAACCGCACTTCCACGAATGTCATAATCCTAGTGAGTGATATTTGCGTCCCCATGCCCATGCACAAACGTGTTAAATGTACACGATATACAACGAGCGCAAAATAGAATCTTGACAATCCAAAAACCAAATGACTTGCACAAACGTGTTAAATGTACGCGATATACAACGAGCGCAAATAGAATCTTGACAATCCAAAAACCAATTGAATATAGAAAATAAACGAATGATATATGCCAGTGATCTCAAACAAATTTTAAGTTTGTCGAGAAATATCAATCTATTTCCTAAAAAACTGTTCCTTGAGTATCCGTATTTAAAAATAAAATGATAAAAAATTGTGAAAACTCGTGGATGTCAGTGGCTTATAATCGTTTATATGCACCAAAACAAGCTCACCTGTAGCATAGATCAATCGCGCATGAAATTTGAAACTACTACTTGTAATCAAGTCAAATATTTCATTATATTCAACGAGTATTTACATGTACCGTGATTAGTGGTGGGCAAAATCAATTTTTTCAATCGAATACCGACGTTTTTACTTCTTAATTTTGTCATAATAGCTGATTGTTTTTTTGTCACCGCTGGATTTGATGGTCGACACTCCAATTAATGTTGGTAAACTTTATTAAAGCACTGCATTACCTCTCATCAGGCAATCGCGAACATCATAGTTTGGTATATATATTTCGGAAGAACTGTGTGTTCACATCGGCGAAAATGTTTAAAAAAAAAGCTATTATATTAATGAGTGAATTTACATCACAAATTAATATTATTCTGATTATTATCTTCTGCCTAGGATTTGATCTCCCATATCCCATTTGTATTTTAAGGTCACTATTTTGAGCGAACAATATCATCATTACTGACCTCGTATGCGCGGATATTTATGAAGCTGATAGTTGACTTTTTTATGCTCTGAATTTTCTATTGTGTTGGTGTTACTTTCGTAAGAATTATTATAATAAAAACTTCGCAAATTGGCCATCTACTCAGTGTTGAGTATTCACGCAGCTCAGCTTTGAGTTGAAATATTGATACTAAATTGTATAATAAATAAATCGTCAATAATGGCATTTTCACGTAGTCAAAATAATACTTCCTCTTAAAATCATGGGAATTCATATTTACCTGTCTTACTTTATCTGGTTGGACGTTTCGAAACTTAGTTACAGAACGGTGTTGCCACGCTTCATACAAAATTAAGAATTGAAAAGATATGATAGGCGCAGAAAGAAAACAAAAAACATAACGCTAAGATTTCTCACAATTTTCGTTTCTGTCTGTTAGCGAGAGCCATAGGTAAATTCTTATTCGTAACTCTACTTTCATATGGATGTTAATAAAGTCTTTTTTGCTTTCCAATGCACCTTGATTTGTATTATCAATGGAAGTGATTGAGTTTGAAAAGAGAGTCCTAACATACCGTATACCACTTCTCTTCTTTTGAGCACCCAAAACGTTCTTTTCATGTCTGTTTCAAGGAGAGAAAGGAAAATTCAACCGCTATTGAGGGTTTTCAAACGTAAAAGAATGAATATGCTTCTGTGATATGTTTTTAAGATATATTCTTTCGATGCTGCTACAGTTGGCAATTCTTCATTAATTTTTTTATGCGATTTGAATAATTTTATTTATCCCTTGATTCTGAATATTTTGCCATAGTTAGGTCGCTTAGTGACACACATGTCAGTGCTTCTCCATCTCTTATCCATGAACAGGCTTTACATTAGTTCTATACGCATAAACATAAGTTTATTTTACCAAGGTAATCAATGTCTGTATAACTCTATATATAATGACTGTTTTTTAAGTTATACAATATTTTTAAAAAAATGGCAAAATATTCATTCACCAAATTAAATTCTATCCAATTCCTACAAAGCCATTATTGCAAGATTTCCAACATCATTTTGAGAGTGCTCCATCATTTCATTATTGTGATCAATCACCCTTGATTCTTAATCTTTCATTGCAAATTGCAATACATTTAATGTTAATTGAAACATAATAAAAATTTACTGGTGTTATAGTCTAGTTGTGTCTCTCCTATGTACTTTATTTAGAATTGGTCTCTGTTCCCTAATAATCTTATAACCTAATCCTTAATCTTGGTTAGCCAATCTTATAGTTTGAAGTTTAAAACTGCATAATATATATTCAAGTTCTAAAAGTTTTCTGGCTTTAACTACAACTACCCATTCTTCTGATTTGAAAATACAACTACTTTTCTGCGAAGCCTGATTTCTGATGGTTTTGTGGTGAATGTCTCCACATCTACTCGTTTGCATATGGAGGGGTTATGCAGTAGCCTACCTAGGATTTATATTCTATATCGAATGGAGCATACAATTGTATGTGATTTAATGTTGATAAAAATTGATTAACCTTGTCTTACAAGCTTTTTTACGAAATAATGAAATCAATTTTACAGTAACGAAGTGAAGAAAATACTTGATCTCTCATCAAAAAGTAGCGGTATAAATATTTTGTCACCGTATGTTGCTCAGCAGCATGAACCTAGATCTGGCAAGCAGGTTCAAAAAGGGTGAATATTTTATGTTATTTGACTAAATTATTTTTACTTGAAAGCAATTGCACCTTGGAGAAAAATTCTTCTTGATGCTTGATTAATTTATGAGATAAAAATATTGATCAAGATTTTATCACCATTTTCTAAATTCAGTTATTTTCCTTTCACTCAGGAACCCCGGTTCCACAATCCCAGAGTGTAGCGTTATACTCGATCAACTTTGAAAATAACAATTTTTTCGTGCTTGTACTTGGTGGTCTATTTCCAGTGCCTATGATGTGAATATTGTTTTGTTCACTACTATAAAGACAATGCATTTGCAGATCCAAAAGTGCTGTAACGAATGATAGTCTTGTAGAAAACGTTGTTGAGATATCGTCAGATGGAAATTTTAATGCCGCTCGTTTGGAAGAAAGCTTTACTATCAATCTGGGCGCCCAAATGAAGACAATGCACAATATACGTCTTATTGCAGCCCCAATACTACAATACTGTCGTCACAGTAACCAGTCTGGGTAGGTTGTTGATTAATATTTTCTAATCTTTCACGTGGCTATATTCAATTCCTGAAAAAATGAGATTTAATTAGCTCAGAACAAGATTTAAAATTATAAGTTTCAATGTTTGCATTTCATCTTTTTTTTAGGGATGTGCAGGCACAAAGACTTCAAACTATATTATCACTTTACTCTAACTCATTATCAGGACTCATTCTACTTTCTGATAATTCCATCGATTCTGTGAGTGGACTGAAATCAGGTTAGTTGGAAATGTGAGTGGAATGCAGGATACTGATTTATTCTTTTCATTTGCCGTGCTCAATTTTAGTGCCTTGGCAAGTTTTCGTCTCTAGTAGAACTTTATGTCAAATCCTTGTTATAAGATTTCTCATAAAAGGTATCCTACTTCCATTTTTCACATTGAACCTAAGACATGCCCCCGTCATTAACTGACTATTATACATATCGTCGTTGTGCTGTGCATCTGTCTTGTGTGTTGTCCTAAGGTTTTACTTGTATATTTTCGTTATTTCATTTCTTTAATCCAGCCACTGTAATAATGTTTATTTATTGTACAGCTGCTGTTAAATTTGAGGCAAATAAGCATGCATACTTATATGCTACCCATCACTTGCCCTTTCGAATCAAAATTAAAAATTTATTGTACATTCATTGCAGAATTTTCTTCAATTTGTGAAGAATCAACTGAATTTCATTTTCCTCAGTATAGGGAGCAGTTGACTGAAATTAAATCCAGGTAAAAATATACTTCAAGGGATAAATTATCAATAACATCAAATGATGACTTAACTATCGATAGCTCATCTAATTATAGGTATGTAACGAAAATGTTTTCAGCTGGTATTGTTTTTTCTGCGTCATTGAAAAATTGTGGCTGTATTGCTTAATATAGCACCAGTTGAGCTTTAAGAAACTCCATAATTGATGCAAAATTCTTGAAGCTTTTGAAAGGTTCTTCAAATGCTTCATTCCCGATTTGGCAATAGAACGATGTCAAATCAGTTTCACACATTCGCGCAATTGTTATTTGTTAATATACCTTAACCACAAATGACAAATGAATGCAAAAATTTGAAGTCACCGTTATTGCGCTGCTTTGGCCCAAAGTTCAGATTAGTTTTGTACAATGAGAGATTGTTAGTATTTGTTATGCTTCAGTGGAACAGAGTTTATAAACCATGAGCTTGTAATTTCTGTGGGGTTCATCTTCGACCTCCTCGTCAATTAAAAGGGGGCTTGAGGCTTAGTGTCACTAATGCATTTTATGTTAAAAATTGGAGATTAACTGACATTTCTGGTGCAGTTATTGGTCCAAGGCTATGCGAACAGTGGGCAAGCCGCGGCTCTTCTTGCTGGCAATAATTATATATTATCCAAGTTTAATTAAGAGAAACTGTAGCGTAAAAAGTTTTTTTTTTGATTCACTGAGCGGTTGAAGAATATATACTTTGCAATATTGTTATTATACGTTTGTAAAGTTCTTTTCAGTTCACGGTATTCTAATATTATTAATTTCAAAAATTATGCGGCTCTCACATATTTCTGACTTGCTGCATGCGGATTTTATACTAAAAAATTTTTGCCCGCCCCTGTTCTATGCCCTGACTGAAAGTGGAGGTACTCTTCCAACTTATGCTTTTCTGATACAAGTCTCTCCTATTCTTTTGGGCAGAAAGTTCACTGCCTGAAACAAAGAATTATCATCCAGTTGAATTTTGTGCAACCCTGTATTCAGAATCATTTTGTCAAGCCAGAAATTGTGGTTTTAAAAATATGTTAAAATTGTTGCAATTTGTTTGAATTAAGGTACGGTAGTTAAAACTGTATTTCTTTTAACAGGTCTGTAGCAGACGGAACATTTCAAGATGGAGATTTTTATGTCACAAAGCATTCAAATTTGTCGAAAGTTCACATTGTGTTTCATCTTGCTGCGAACACCTCTTCTTTACGGTCATCAGAATCTTCTGCTACCATGTCATCTCGGCATTCTGTTATACTTGGATTGAGACATATTTTGAAGGTTTGTAAATAAGCTACAAGCCAATTGTACCATAAAAAAGGTTTGTTAGTCCACAATTTAGTTGCTGGACTACTGATAGCTCCAATTTGATCCCTGGATTAATGTTGGGGGAATAATTCACCGAAACCATACTGGTAATAGCAGTGATATGAAACTATTTGTTTTTTTCACCTGATTTTGGTACAATTTACTTTTACTGATTGAAAAAGATTACTTTGCATTTGAGTGAATTTTGACCACATGGGGGAAAAGTCTATCTATTTTGTGCATGACTTTTGTATAAGGAATCTAGTTGTTTATCAGCAATAGTACCTTATACAATTTTGTGGGTTTCATTGTTGATGGAAGTATATGTTTATATGTTTACAGGTAATGTCAAGTCATGATGTTGGAACACTAAGTGTTCCTATATTACTCTGTCATGAATTATCTGATAAAAATGATGAAGCGTGGATTGTTAAACGTGCAGAACTTGTAATGAAATGTTTAAAAGGTAATACCAATGCTATACGAGTAAATAGCAAATGACAAAAATAATATGAACCAATTTTCTAAATTCTATCCACCAATTGTCTGTTTCAATTTGTTCTATAATATGTCATATCACTTGAGGGAATTAAATATAGGTAAGGTATGTGTTAGTGAAATGGAAATACTTACTAGTTGCATAGAATGGGGGTTCGAAGAATTGAAATTTAGTTGAAGTTCAGATATATTCAGACAGCCTTCAATATAAATGTGGTTGGTGTTGTGGTCTGTCCACAAGTGTTAGGTCGGGAGTAATTTGTGATGACTCTATTAGCGCTATCTCATTTTTCTCATCGTCCTGACTACCTTTCATTTTGTTGGAGATGTCGGAAATCAAACAAATTTGACTATTTCTGATACAGGTTTCATGATGGAAATGGCGGCTTGGGACGGTGGAATATCAAGAACAATGCAATTTGTGGTTCCCCCTGATATTAGTGACCGAACGTTCTATCGCTTGTCAGCGATGCTTCCAGAGATATTCCGCACAACTTCTGCAAGAAATTTAACATCCTCGAAGGTATCTTCTTCTGCATCTCAAAACAAGCATTAACATTCAAGTGATCATTCGATTGTGCAATACTTCAATCTTTTGAATTACTGTATTTTTCAAATATTATATTCTTGATTCAAGACTGTCTGGTGTCGTGATTATGGAGATATTTATTTAGGTTTGAGAGTATTAATATTTTGCATATTACAAATGGCTGAAATTGGTTGCTATATGCCATATTTATCACTATTTAGAATTTAACTACAGTTATGTGAGCTCAGCCTTTGGCACAAGCATTCAACCATTCAGTTGAAGTATATATAATTTGTAGATCAACTTTGATCCAAGCATATTTATGTATCATTTGGTACATGATCACATCTGTTGGCAGCAAACCAAAGCAACTAGCAAATTCGCTGAAGCTGACTGCGGATCCTGGCATTTTTTTCTATATTTCATCTTTTGGAACCTGGCTTCCAAACTTCCGCTTTAATTCCATCCAATACATAGGTTTCTTACTTCAGCGTTCCGGTTTTGTTCTCAAATCTGTGCTGATAACTACAATGCATCCAACGAAGCTTTATTTTTAATTAAGTTTAATGTTGAAATGATATCCAATTAGGAGAGCTGTAAGGAAGGCATGGATTTTTAAAACTAGAATATCAACTGGATTTGTGAGAAACTGTGCGGTTTCTAAAGCCAGACTAGCGGATAATATGTATGGGTGATATCAGTATACAGTAGGGGAAGGTGGGACATTGAGCACAGTGGAAAATCAGCTGAGGTTTGATGTTTAAATATGCCCTTTGGTGAGTTACAACGCCCCTAAATATATATAACGATGGCGAGTGGATGTGCCTTCCTAATCTCGCCGTGAAACGGTTTGAAAATATTTGTTTCCTATGGGGTTCAGTGGGACATGCTCCACAGTACACAATTCGACAGTGTTTGATCCATTAAGTGCTTAGAGGACTGGAGATGCGTTATGTTTTGTGTAATATTAGGGTGTCTTTTGGCCCATGGCCCAATATGGAATATATTCGAGAATCAAAAATATTTTCAGGTTCGAAAAAGAAATTAATTTGTTTAGGTAATTTTTTGGAAAAAATATCTCTGAAGTATTTTGGTTGAACATTGATTTCTGAAGTCCCCCCGTTCTTTAGAATCTAAAGGTTAGAGGATAATGCTGATTCTTAGCTTATTTTTGGGGCTTACTTCGTTGAATTCAACAGAATAGCCCCATTGTGCCCCCGGGTTTGTCCGAATGTGCACTACAAGTGGGGTACAGTGGGACATTTGACAAACGTTTTTCAAAGTATTTTGGTGGTTAGATGTGTGTCGCTGCAGTAGTCCCGCACAGTTAAGTGAATGTGCAGAATAAACGGCTCAAAATATGCAAAAGAAAAAAAGTGACCCAACCTTCCCCTACTCACTGTTGTTGAATTGTTGCTCTGAATTACATAACATTTCCCGGGCTTGCCAGGAAACTCTTTGTCCAAAAGTCGTCAACCGATTACGATGCTGTATATACTTCAACCAATCGGCGAATAAATATTAAAAATAAACATTAGGCCGTCATGAGCAAGACGTGGACGTGAGAAACTTATTAGGGTTTGATTAAAGACAATTCAAGTCGCTGGAAGACTTTTAAATTTATATATTTTACGGGTACTATGGGGGCGAATATTTCACAATATCTCACGCGCTCGGCTACACAACTGAAGCCGGCACCGAGGCGTGATTTGTCAATTTGTATTTTGTCAAATGATGTATTTGTTTGCATAGTTAAAATATATTCTTGGAATGACCGGACCCTGGTAATTTTTCAATTTTACGGACGGACCTTTTTAAGGACCTTTGGTAAAAATATTTGAGTAGCCCTGTTATGTGGAAGTGGTTAAATAAAATGTACTCACGGACCAGCAAAAAATTGAAATGACTGGAACAGAAAATAATAACATACATTTGCATAATATAGAGCAATCAATGTTGGGCGCTCACTGTGCCTCTACATAAAAAGGCACACTTTAAAACATTTCACAGATAAACTATCAAATAATGTGCCGGTCAAAAATTGAATTGTGTGAAACATGAAATAATACCATATATTTGTGTAATAAAATGCAGTGCTGGGCACCCAAAAAACATCTCAAATGAAAAAACATTTAGGCTACATGCCAAATCATGCACAAACACAATTAACTCTAGTGAGAATTTTGCTGCTGCTACTTTTCCAATATACGATTGAAAACGAGGCCCCAAAGAAGTTTCTGCAACCGGTAGCTCTGCAGCGCGTCCAGCAGATTTCTTTGCTCCGTTTTAATTAAAGCTAGTGATGAAAAGTTAGTTTTTTCGCATAAGTAACTGGTTGAAAATACGGGCAACAGTTTGATTGCTCGATGACTTAGCGATTTGCTATCAAGAGATAACCAAAATTGTGACAGTGATTCTTTTTTAAATATATATGGTCTGTGAAGTAGAATCACAATTTTACTCAACCTTTTTCTTTTTTATCGGATTCAACATAAATAAACTACTACCATTAGCTAATGACTTTCATAATAATGTGATACCCAACTTTTTTGGCGACATATATATATATATATATATACAGTGGCGTAGCATCCACCCCCGCGGTCGCGGGAGGGCCCACAGCGCAAAGGGGCCCAAGCGGTTAGAATTTAGAAATTTAAGCCACAAAACCAAAAGCTGCATTGCTAAACCAGTAATGCACATCTTATAACGTTGATGTTAGTTCTGCTCAAATCGTTTTGTTATGCCAGGGAGTCGTCTATTTTCGGCGTCTTGTAGTTTATCGCACGGGCAAAATTACGAAGGCTGTCAGAATGATGTCGAAAGCAAAACCTTTCAGTGGCACACAGAAACATGGCAGAAGAGGAAGCACGTATGAAAAAATAAAGCAATCAAGATAAACGGCAAATTTTAGGTAACCATTGCCTTTTAATAGCGACATGTTATGCTTTTTGACAAAATAACAAAAGCATGGTTTTAGGTTATGTCCGAGAGTTTTTAGGGTCATTTCCACAAAATATTTTTGCGGGGGGGCCCACGAGAGTCCTGCTACGCCACTGTATATATATATACACTTGTCAAAATACCTCCGACTGAAGAGGTAATACCTTTCATGAGTCAATCTTCTAGTCGGCATTCCTTGTCTTTTACTGGGCTCAAACTTTGGAATTATCTTCCCTTGAATTTGAAGACGCTGAGGTCCAAAATAAATTTACAGAAACAAGGTAATTCTCATTTAGTTTCCAAATAGTAAAAATTACTGTTATGAAACCACACTGATGAATCCTGATCCTACACCGATTTGTATGAAATTAGCGTCAATGGTTGGGACACTCCTCAATTGCACATTGTTGTTTTCGTGGGAATTTTGGACAGCTATATATAATAATATCGTTATTGTTCCTGTATGCATAATTACTATAAGTAGGCTTGCAGTTGAGCCATTCTCTGCCTCTAAATTTTCATTAGTTTTATTTAGGCCTGGTCTGGTATCAAAACACTCGCATCGGATTATGCATGGTTGGGTTCGTTGTTTTATATTGTAGCTGACAAACTTGGATGGTGTTTTCAATAGCTGTTCACCTTTTCATGTGCATGTTTGTTACTCTTTTCTTGATGTGAGGTCTTTCTTATTACACATGGACGGTTTTGGTTTTCTGTATGAGTGGTAGTATTTCTCTATAAGGGTTGTAGACAATATAATTAGTCCCTGCTACGCTTGTCCATGGGATATATTTTTCTGTCTCATCTCATAGCTATATATGTCCGCCCCATCCCATGGGCCATCGGAATACAATTCAATAAAAAATTACTAAATTCATGAAAATTTAGGTTTAGTGTTTATGTAATAGGAATATATATATGTATATATACCAAAACAAAACATTATACAATATATATATATATACAGTCTACACAAAGATATATACATACAATATATATATATATATATATATACAAAAAGACATGGAAACCGAAAATATCCATTGACTGTGTTTGAACTTCAAAATTTAACTTTAAAATTCAGTATCATTCTGGCACTCCCGTTCTATTTCTGTCACTCTACACATTCAGCAAATTATCAATTTCGCGATCATGGACGGTTTCTTATATTTCAGTTAATCCGGGTAATTCCTGAACCATTTCCTCAACTCACATGTTACATGCAAATCTGATGTACACATAGTTTATATCAAGAGCAGGTTGGACTTCTCTGGATCGATCGCAATGAATTTGAACACCATGACGTAGCACCATCCCAGACCTACATGCCAAGTTTCGTCCGAGTCCAAAAGCTAGAATTCTGTTCACGCTCTAGGAATATAATCGTATAACCCCAATTTTCTTACGTGTCCCTCTTGTCCCATGAGTCCACTTATCTCACCTACCTGCTCCATAGGAAATACAAATGTGTGCTGTCCGACCCTATCCCATGAGACGTTTCCCATGGTAGACCCATCCCCGTGGACAAGCCTGGTTCCTGCAAGATTACAAATTTTTTCAAATAGGCGAGCAGGCGAGCTATATTGGATTCCCCCTGCAACTTTTAATTTGCTGTTAGTCATTTTAACGTGGTTTTATATTTTTTATGTGAGCATTTTTCATGTTAATTACGAAGTGATCCGGTGGGGTGTGAAAGAACAACTGAACTGTCCTGTCCTTGACTGAAGTCGTGGTCTATAAATAGAAAAAAAATCTTACCTACAACACCCTTGATAACCGATACATTCCCATGCCTGAATACCCTATTGTTCTACCCCAGTACTACCTTAATTTAATTTTATATATGTACTAACTTGTACTGTTACCGGTAACATTAAATACCTATTATTTTCCGGACTATAATTTGGCCAATGAAGTGGTCTAGGGCAGGGCTACTCAACTGGCGGACCGCGGTCCGAATCCGGACCTTTCGAGTATTCAATTTGGACCGTTGCTGCTTCTTGACTTTGAATGTATCGCTTCTTTTAATTTCACAATTGTAACATAATGCATTTTTCGCTAAACCACTTAGGAAAAAATTCTCAGAATACTCGTTCACTCCCTTAGCATTGGCTAATCAGCAAGCAAAATAGTATACTCTCACTTTCTAGAACCAATATTGAAATCAATGGCAAAAACAAAAAAATGAAATAACCATTGACAAATAACTTTGCATTTGGTGACTAATAAATCGTTTTGCTGAAAGTCTTGCGGGCGTTGTGGTTTGTCTCAATTTTGCTTGGAAAAATTCTTCTTCTCCGCAATTAATATATATATATATATTACAAATTTTCAGTTCTAAAGATAATTGCAGTCGCTGGAAGACTTTCAAATATATATATTGTTACGGGTGCTATGGTGACAAATAGTTCACATCTTTTCAAAAAAGTCGGCGCTCAGCGACATTTTTGAAGCCTTGTCACACCGGCTCCGAAGCGTGATATTGAGCATTGCTCTTGTATTTTGTCAAACAATGCGTTTGAAATTTTGTTTGCATACGTAAAATATATTGAGCGGACCGCGGTAATTTTTAAATTTTGTGTACGGACCTTTGGTGAAAATAGTTGAGTAACTCTGGTCTAGGGCTTCCCAGATTTTTAACTTCGCGACTCCTTCTAATATATACAGTAAATATTTTCGCGACTCCGGTTCACGTTTAAAATGCTAACAGTTCGAAATATGCATTTTTGATGTTTTATTTACACACTTAATTCTTAACTTCTAATAGACCTACACGAGAACTAAAAGAAACGCGCATTTATTCAGATTAACATCTCTTTATTATTGAGTGCGACTTCTATTTGCTCTATAGAAAGTCCAGACGTGGCTCAATCTTTGTTAATGCAGTCCTCCCCAATGGCCAATGAAAATATATTTGACAAATGGTTAATTACAATGTGCCTAATCATCTTAAATCACACGTTATTGTTATCCAAAATGTCTTCTGTAAAAGTAAATGGAAACATCTCTAATGACTCAATTTGAGCTTTTCGTTTCCTTTTTTTCTTTTTATTCTAATTTTGGATTTCAAATTAGAAATATATATTGGTGTTTTCTCCTTGAAAAGACAAATTAAGTTCGCTTGAATTTTCAGGCAAATCTTATAAATAGGATAATTTAAACAACCAGCTGTCATTGTGGAAGTGGTGGACCAACTTCGAATAACTATTATTAGCCTTTTTAAGATTTTTCTTTCGACGGCCAGCTTACTACTTTCTGTATGCAGTAAAAGGGTTTTGAACTCCGATTCCGTTTCATCAAATATATATATTTGCAAAAATACGGGTATTGAGTGCGTGACTCTCAATGAAGTTAATTACTTTTACAGCATGATGCACAACTGCATTTAGATCAGGAGAATTTTTTCGTCTACTAGGGTCTTTCGATGAGTCATACAATGGATAAAAGTAATGGATGTACCCGTATCACTTGCAGATCGCTCTTTCGCATGAAATCCGGCTATACATCCTGTTATTGTGGCGACTCCGTCGGAACACACCCCAAACCTAGCAATAGCCAGGTGCAGTGAGTCCAGTAAAGTGGCATTTAGAATTGAGATTTGTCTTGGATATAGTTTACATTAGGGGTGCGGGTTTCGTGAAATCTGTTATATTAATTTAGCTCAGTTAGGTCCTATTTAGTATTGGTTATTATTGCTTGTCATTGTGAATGTTATTTTGTCATTCTTTCATTGGTTGTTTATAGTGCATCCGTGTCGTTATAAATTAGTTTTATCGTTGGTCTTCAAGTTTCTGTGCTGTAGCAACATTTTACTCATATGTGGAGATTGATGAATACAGTTCGTTTTCTAAAGTTGTGCAGTTACTAGAAGCTGGGAGATTGCGCATAATTCTTCAAGGCGGGTGCGGGTGCAAATATGACTCCACTATAACAACGTTGAGTGGATTGGAATTCACGTTCCAACTTTACAGTGAGAAAACTTTTTGTTTACTGTGTTGTATATTCTCAAAGATGACACCAAATATATCTGTCACAAATGATATTTTGCATGAACGATATTTGCCTCACATTCAAACAAAATATCTTGTTAAATTGCTGTTTATACGCAGTTTACAATCAATGCATCTTCGATTTCAATGATGCAGATTAAAATTTTTGACATTTTAGGACTAAATGAAAATATAATTTAGTCCCAACCCCGGTCAGAAAATTAGATTTTTCTGAATTGTTCTCTTCATCTCCTTCTCTTTTTTTCACGAAGATGCCGGGGTGTGATGTCGGTCTTGCTTTGTGAAGACTTTGAACTTTGCCTCTTTTTAGTGTTTGTTGAATCATTTTTTTGAGATTTTAACTTTGTTCTATCTCTTGGTTTTTTTATTACAAAGACCTCAATCTCATTGGAGACCTCGTTTTTATATTTACCACTTCCAGATGGTGGTTTTTGTTTGACGTTTTCTTGAAACCTTTTCTTTCTGCCTAATTGTTTCTTTTCAACTATGTGAGATGGAGAATCTTTCTTATCGCTTCCAATTTCAGTTTCTTTCTTTTTTTTTGTTTTTGTATGTCTTTGTCTACTTATTATTCTCCTGCGTGGACGTGTGATCGGCATAGTCTTTATGTCTCTCGTGCGACGAGTATGTGTAGAAGCCTTCTTTTTATTTGACGTCTTTGCGTCACCCAAAGCAAATTTTTCACGTTTTCCATTCAGTTTGTTAGAGTCGTTCAAACGTTTTGAAATGTGCTTGTCAGACTTATGATTCGTTCCAATATTTTCCTCATTCTTTTGAATATAATAAACGTAATAACCCGGAGCGGATGCAATGTTGGGTTTTTCTTGATCCGCCTCATTTTTGTGGTCTTCTGTAGCGTACGTTGATGGATACTCCGATGTTTCTTTATTAATTTGCTGTTTATCTATGAAATGAATTTGCAATAATATACTTCTACTCAATCAGGAAATTGAAAATTTCTTCTGTTCATTACATTTTTCAATTTGTGTAGTTTTCAGTTAGCAAATAACAATTACCTATATTGTTTTTTGCCTTTTTTCTCCGAGTCTGTTTCCATTTTATTACAACAAGAACAAGAATTCCAAGAAGCACAATTCCACCAACAACAATTCCAACAATTTCTTCCAGTGATATTTTGTTTGATGATTTTGTTGGGGGAAATGAAGTCGTTCGTGGAGGATAATATCTTTTAGCTGCAAAATAGCTGCTTTTAGTCGCCGTAATGTATAGTGCAGAGTTCATTTTGAAATATAAAATCATAATATTGATATATAATTGTTTACTTGACGACGCTCTGATATATTTCAGAAAAAAAGGATTAGGTGGCTATGAGGAAATCATTACATTTGACGGAATAATCCACAATATTTTTAAGTTATTAATTTAATCTGTGTGCTTTATACCACTTGATATTTTGAAGCCGCAAATTTAGTTCGAGAATTTCAAATGAGTAAGAGGAAAAACTCCCAGTTTGGTCCGTTTTGATATTTTTGATAGGCCTACTGCTTTATTGCCTTCAGTCGTACATGTATGGTTTTTAAGATTTGTCGTAGGCCTACTAGTATATAGTCCGCCACCTAAAACATGTTTTATATGACAGTCTTTTGGGCATATTTTCAAAAAGTGTTGTATATCAACGCGATGCCCGAAATGTACAGGGTAATAAGGAAAAACTGAGCAGGTATGCTCGCCTTGTGAATAAAATCATATTGAGGCTTATGGTGGGTTCCCTATATTTAATGAAGAGGCACAGATACAAATATTTCGAACACAGCAAAACGTCATTTGCTTGGAAGCAATATCAACAGTCTATCCTCATTTGTCATATTAAGTCTCAACAAATACGCCGCCATGCAGTTGATATGTCGCAAACCACAATTTCTCGACATACCATATCGCGGCTGTTAAAAATGTAACTGCCTTTTCAATGAAGTACACAGCATGACAACATGAGCATGCGTATTTCTAACGAAAACATTTCTAGTTTATCTAAAATAATGGTTCTGATACCTTTGAAATGAAACAACAGAGGCATATATACCAATTACGCAAGTTTAAACGTGATATAGTTACAGTACTTTGTTTCCAAAACCAAATATTTCTTTTTCTTCGACACATTCATACCAAAGTAGGTACACGCCAGTTATACGTTAATTAGACAAAATCGGAATACTTTTGGCGGATACATTTTCATTTTCGTGGGCAAATCTTTATCATACGCGCCATTAATATTGACCACGTATGTAGATACAAAACATAGCCAAAGCACACCTTGATGAACATATTTTTAAATACAATTTGACACACTCGACTTCGAAGATTTTGCCTCACATCACACACTCTGGAGCAGCCCACGCTGCAATACACGTGGGTACATAAAGTGGTCGACTTACATTGTGATGTTGTTATGAATACCTGCTGTCTAGATCGAAATTCTAATTCGATATTACACTTTTTGGCTGGGATAGCCTAATTGATATCGCGCATAGATGAGTCAGAAAAACCAATCGGGAACGATCGTTAATCATATTATTCCAACATCTTTCAATAATAAGATATCAATAACAGGTCAATTAAAACAGCTTAAAGCGAACTGGAAGAAATTTTGAGTTTTGCAATAAATTTCCAAATTTCCTTGTTACATTAGATAGAAATACTTTCCCTAAAACTAAACCATGTAGAAAAAGCCAGCAACATCTTGGTTAAATGATGAGTGCTTCAAACACTTATGGCAAGATTGAAACAAAAAACATGTACAGTAAAACAAAACGATCTGTGGGGCCCCGGTGTGATTAATTTTAAACGTAATAACCAAACTTTAGTAAATTATTTGAAAAAGCTTAAAACGTTTTGACATTATTTTGTGTTATTCAGTTTCTCTGATATCCTCTGAGATGAGGCGGACAACATTTCAGATGTTGTGTTTTAGGAATAAAAATTTGAAAATTTCTTGTGGCATAGAAATAATACTCCACCGGTATATATGATGAAATATGTGATTCTCGTACACTTGCAATATAAATGTAAAATAATACTCCTGGTATTTTTACCGGATCATTGGCCCCACTCCATCATAGACCTTTATTTAAATTTAGGAGATCAAAGAATAAGCCTACATAACCTTAGTCTAATTTATGTGACTATAGTTGTTAATAGAAAAGATGCAACAATGGATTCAGAGAGGATGGATGAATGGATCTGTTTTGGCTATAATTTTCGATACAGAAAACGCTTACGACAGGTTCTGACGGCTTATACAAACTGTACAATATTGCACTAGTATCTGTTTTGATGCTATTACCAATCATTTGCCTTCTTGTGTTTTGCCATACATGGCGCGTTTTTTGGGGGGGGGGGGGAGTTGAGTTATGCTTTGACAATCTTTTTGCAATGACACTTGTGTAATGATTGGAGGTTTTGCCATCGAAAACAAAATCCTTATTAAAAAAAAAAACTTATTCTTTTTCTATTGACATACACAAAAATATCTAACTAATACAATGTAAGAAGGTGCGGTAAACGAATAATTTTATTAAGTTTATTATTATGTATTACAAAATGGGGCGCGAGAAATACTACTTTGCTCACAGTCGATCGTGCGATATAAAACCAGTTAACAAAATACCACTGATGCTAGAGGCGCCATAAACCACATCAACAACAATCAATAATATTTGTGAATATGTCAATATTTTTGATCAGTGAAATCTTTATAAGGTAATTTTCTGATGCTAGTATTTTAATTATGCCTTTTTTAAACGGGTTGTTCGGTTTTCTGGTGAAATTGTAAACTCATGTGGGAATGCTATATATAATTCAATGCGACTAACCGTACTCGGTTTCAAACAAAACCTGTTATTTCACGTGTTGTATTGCCCCAGGTCATGTTTCAATAATCCAACACGTAGTTGCAATGTGAAAAGTAAGTAAAACTGAGTAAAACTTTTTTGTACATATGCGGACTGCTTTTTCTAGTCACCTACCAAACTTACCTTAATGATTGCCATTGGTGCATCACCAAATATTTGACGTAGATTTCTCATACAAAATCTACCAACTAGAAACCGTTATAATACACAATCATGTAACTAATGGTATTTAGCAAATGAATCAAAAAACTTAATTACCTGTTGAATGTATGTTTGGTGTCAGGACTCCAAGTTTTCGACCTGGCCTGAATCTAGGCGGTTTCGATGTTGTTTTCGAGTTCACTGGCCTTCCACTGGAAGTACGAACGATAAATACAAAGATAGTAGTAGTTGTAGTATTATAAACTATCAGGATTGTCTACTAGTAGATAGATTCATTGAGCATAATCACAACTTATTTAAAATCCTGGTACACATTTAAAAATTGCTGAGTACTTTGTCAAAAGTGCTAAAAACTAGGCCGTCGAATGACTTGACAAGTCCAATGCTTTAATTATTTGTAATACAATACATTTGTAATATATTGACAAATACAAAAGTGCCACCGATTTCTAATATAAATAAGATGGTCAATATTCAAGCGAGCTCTAATTGAATCCCTCAAAAATACGATTATAATATAAGACTGATCTAGTCAGATTTCTGAAAACCACCCTATTCAAGAAATGTCACAACACTTTTAATTTATTTTCTACGGTAATATAGCTGTAACTCAGGTTATTATTGTATTACCCTCTTGAAGAAATTGTTGCGGAAGGGAATATTTTCTCGACAACTGCAGGATCTGCTGTCAAAGGTTCGCCATTTCCCCAGTTTGGTGGTCGCACTATGACAAAGACAATGATATCATAAATGACGACATTGAAGCTCATTAAATTTATACTACATTGCTGAACAAAGATACTTTATTTAATTTTTTTAATTTAATTTTATGTATTGAAATAATGGTGATTCAAGTTGATATATTCACTGTGTAGTATGATATTACTCTACTACTTACATTGGGGACTTGGAGTTTCGACAGTCTCAATGAAGGACATTTTGAACCCACGATAATTTTCAGATGTCATAGGAATGTTTGAAACCAAGTCTACCTCGAGGTAATTACCTGAAATAAAATTATATTTATAAAATGATGTCGATGCATTTTAAGTATTTTTTTTTTATCATTTCAATCAAGTAAACACAGAATGTAATTGTCTACAATGAAAAAATATTTTAATCAATACCTTTTCCCGCCTTCTGGCACATGTTCTTTGCATTATATATACTGGTAATTCCGACTGATCATAATTAATATATAAATTCACAGAACATGACAAGTTTATGGGTAGTTCATAACTTGCTAACGACCATGCTAAATGTAATATGAATTTTATTTGACAAAATATGTTCTGCCTGAAGAGCAAGGACACCACGCACGCTATAGTCACAACCAAACTTGTGAGACAAAATGATTACTGACGAAACTACTGATGAAAGAAGACATGTCGGCATTTCAATTTTCAATTCAGCAACTAAATTCCGGTCAAAGATCATTTTTCTATTATGGTAACAATTTCCACATGCTCTTCTCACTGTTAAGTCAGGGAGCGTGATACTAACTTTTTGCTTGAACTTTTAACCTACCACGATCGCGCCAGTTGCAAGTTTCGGAAATAAATCCATTATCCTTTTGTGTAGGATGTACTGTAGACTGTAGAACAACTGATTTTTGTCAGTAGATTACTTTTAGAACGTTTTCAAGTAATGGTTATTATCACATTAATGCATTGTACTATTTATAGTGCTTGCAAAATCCTAATCCAATTTACCTGCTGATATCACTGTGGGTAATCCGGCGTTACCACAATGAGGTCCCATTTCTAACTTGGATAATGGAGATTTGATGATGACACCTTGCGAGTAGCACATTCCATCATCACCTGGTCCTATCAAATAAAAATCCCGAAATTCGAGTCGTATTCTCTTACCAGGTCTGGTATAGATTCTGAATGAAATAATTTAACAAGATTATATAAATCTTGCTATTCATTGAGATTATTGTACATAAAATAAATTCAGAGACCGTCGTGCTGTGGTTTTATAAAGATAATTTCAAAAATGAAAGAAGTGAATTAAAAGATTTTTCTTGTTGTTTTTCATATGAACGTTTCAAATTTTATTTCGATTTTTCGAGTCTGATGAGTGATGACAGAGAAGAATATTTTATGTAAGATTTAGAGTTCGATAGTCTGTATATGAATGATATGTGAACCGATTTATTTTGAATTCGAGGTTGATATTCAAATCGTATATTGTTTATCTTTATTCGACGCAATTGGAAATTAGTCAGATAATAAGAAACAAACTTGAATCGATAATGAATCAGGAAGTAAGCAACAATGTTTTTCCCATACGTAAATGTAGTTAATACATAAACCACTAATATAAAATACAGTCGTGTTCATGTAACCAACAATAGGAGTTTTTCCTACCCCCATTTACACAGCCTCTGGATTGGAAATTGATTGGGAAATCCTGGTGTATATGCGTATTTTTCATCTATGTCGGCCCACAGATAAGACGTTTGGCAATCAGAGGAAAAAGAAGAATTCGGCAACTGTTTGCAGCAAGTGCTAGCATCTGAAATTAACGAGAACTACGTTATGCATATAAATACGTAAACAATACATGATTTACGCACACACTATTAGAAAATATGTCCGAAATACACATAAGAGTTAAAAACAAATATTAGTAGTGTATTGAACAATAGAAACAAGTTTCTTGTTTTCGAACGCTCATACTGCGTGATAACATCGTGTGCAACAACTTACAACATTAGTGAAATGCGGTACGATACTGTGTCAATTACTACGAGTGAACAATGAAAGGCGAATATTTAATCTTAAAAACATTATTTTTCCAAAGCGCATAATCAAAAATACGTCCAACTTACCTTTGCGTCCATTTATGATGTCAACTTTGACTGACACTGAAAGTATTCGAAAAAAGCAGTAAACAACTATATGAACGAGCGCACGTGATATCTCCATCTTTTTGATATTGTGATACCCAACAATATTTTACTATGATATATCCATTAACACGAGTCAATAATAAAAGTTCCGACAGAAGTGCTAACAATATATATCTCTCAAAACAAACTGGACCAATTGAGACTCGTCTGTCGCCTTATCTTAACGGGAATTTTTCTACAACCTGGAATAAAGCCTTAGTAGCATCAATCTTTTTTTAAGGTTTTCTTTAGACTTGCTTCACATTTGTCTTATGAAGCTCAAATTTTGAAAACCAACCTTAAAAATTACTTTCTCATATCGCTAAATTATCCTTCGCTTATCCTTCGCAAAATATATCGCTAATTGCTCAGACACCCTGCGGCGGTTGCGTAAAATACCAAATGTATACAAGTTTGATAGGATATGTCACGCGTCACACGAAAGCTAGCTACTGCAAATAAAATTTATTATTCAAACAAAAACATAAATAAAGTTATTAGAAAATTTTTGACGGATTCCAATATTCCAATCAAATCGAAAAAACTAGCGACCCCCATTCCCAAAACACAATGTTATAGGTGAAAGACGACCTTTTTGTCCGAGACAACGTAATATGTATGTAGAAATATCAAATTTTTTATAATAAAGTACCGATGGCCTCAACTTCGCTGACCACCAGGTCGCTATTATGCGCCTCACGTTAAGCAATTTTTATTCTGATTACGTCATCACACAACAATTCAATTTGAAAAACGAATCCATAGAATCCATAGACATTTTTGAAATAAATAAAATGGACAATAACAAAATTAAACACAGAAATTTCAAAGAAATTGATCCAGTAGGTAACAAGTACGATTTTTCACAACAATGACAACAACAAGAAAAGGTGAAAGAATGAATGAATGAAAATGAACATCGCCTACCTTTTTGTTAATTATAAACTTCTTTATTAATGTAGGGAAATACTGTTCATATCTGGTCAAAGAAACTGATGAGATTAAGATGATATGTTCGGGACGCAAAAAGCTCAGACGCGAGTAGGTACAAACATATACAATGGGATCTGTTGTATAATGGATATGACGCGCATAAGGTTTTAATCCCAATAACAGAAATTTCCTCCACAATTATGTTGACCCAACTCAAATTTAACAAGAAAAGGAATAGCAAGAAGAAAAATAACAACAACTACTACAAATTGATATAATAACAAATCGATCTATAGTCCACCTCGTGTCCAATGAATTAACGAAACAATTAATAGTCCCACCTATTTTTTCTATTTTACACAAACGACTTTTTATTTTGTTATTGGTACGTCAGATAAATGAATAATAACATACAGCTTATTTATTGAGATTGGCATAGATTGCTAAGGAATTCCCATTCCCACGGGAATCCCATGAGCAACGTTCCATGGAATTGGATGGAACAGGCATATATTTTTGTACTGTTTGGTAGAATTTATAAATATGGTCAGGTCGGAGGCAATACCTAATCGCCGTTGTTGGTCAACGTCCTAATACAAGTAAATTGCATTATGCACAAGTTGAACATTTAGCGTTTTAATTATTTTTCGAGGGGGAAGGATGAGTACAAACATGTTCCGAATCAGTTCCTCATCAGTAAAGCTTTGTTTACGACTATTGGTAAAAAAGTAAATAGTTTATGCGATTGACGATATATATATGTCTTCGTACCGCCGATCATCACATCTACAATGGACGAAACGACTGACAGCCATTCTGAAATATCCACGACGCCACACTAGTTCAGTACTTGAGGTTCGGTCTGCATTTAATGAAAGGCAGCCACAATCCACAAACAGGCAGTCCAGAGGGAACATAACCCATCGCTCTTTGTTCTGAAAAGTCAATATGAAGGCTTCTGCGAAGCCATTATATAATGCTGTTTTGCAATAAACTTTAAAAATCCTTAAATTTCATCTCATTCACCTTGTTGGGTTGAGTGCAATTTCTTCGTCCGGATTAGCACTGGACGTTTCACTCATACAGTAATTGTGATGAAATGATGCAGTGTACAAACAACATGCCATTACCGCTATGCAATTGAGAGTAATATGTACAGGTATTAAATGCTGATGGAGGCAGAAATCCGATCCAAAGTTTTCAGTATTCGTAGCCGAGGTGGACACATTATAGGATGTCATCATTTGAGTAAAATATGACAAGAAAAAGTCATTATTGCCCTCTTTTATACTAAAAGGTAGATACCCAGTTGTTGTGAAAACTTGTTGCGTTATTTCAGTATATGCAGATGTTGTAATTACGTATATTGAAGACACTTGTGATATTATTAGGTAGGGAATCCCTACTAAAATGAGGTTCTCCAAAACATAAAACAGAAGAACGGAAAGCGCTCGTATTCCAACAGTTTCGCCCACATATATGAATGTGTTCAAAAACACGAATAGGATTGATCTTGCCAGAGTTATTTCACGATTACGTACGATACAAATGAGGCCAACTATCCAATGTGTAATAACTACTATAGCAATCCACCAGGATAACACATAAGCAAAATATATGATAGCCAACATTCTGGAAGCGAGATAGCTGGTTCTGAACATTAATATCAAAATCTTCTGAAGTACTGCTATTTCCTCGTGCAACTTCACTGAAATATCAAAGTGTGTAATCCCGATGCATACAGTGAGGAAAGAAATGATTGCTGAAATATACTGAATGTTGGAAATTGTTTGTCCACAACTTGAGAGAAGATATAAATTAATTGTCAATTGTGGTATCGATTCAACTAATATTTCAAGAAGCTTAATAGTCAAAATAATATCTTTCGATTCTTCTCTTTGTCCTGAGCATACCTGGAACTGGTAATAATAATAAAAACCGCCAACGGGCAACGCCAGCAGAACCGAAACTAAAGATAATCCAAACACTATATTCGACCTTTCCAGCCAATACATTCTCAATGTTAGGCAGTCTGTCCCAAGGTCAGTAATGTGCAACACGATTTGAAAAATGCACCAAAGTGTTTGTAGCATCCTGGCCATAACATTTATGACCTATATTGATGAATACCCAATATTTTCTAGAAAAAAAAAATACAATAAAAACGTTTACAGCCTTTGTACTTTCAACATTAGTTCAACTAATTTTCATCCTTGTTGTTACTGCACTTTTAAATCTTCAAAGAAAAAACCTTGACGAGAAAAAACTGTTTCCTCAGAGATGCCAACGCAAATTTGAAGATTTAAGCTTTAACAACGCACAGTAATACTACATGGTGGTAACTCACGATCAAGAAAACAAACTTTGTCACAAACGCGCACTCTGTATATTGTAATCATTAAATATTATTGCCTCGAGATTGAATGATGTTGAGCATACCGCCTCTAATACTTTAGAAATCCTTCTACAACGAAAGGCTGTTTTAAAGCCTGGTATATTGGCGTTATTAATACGCTGTACAAATAAATCCGCTAGTTAGCCATTAACCATATTTCATTGTACTACTGTCAAACCCGTAAACATAACTATGATTTCATAATGATTTCATAATTATTTCACAATGAGTAAAGAAGATCTAACTAACTAAAACTTTATCCTAGATTTTAATCTCTATATCACGGTTTTTTGTTTTAACCATGCATGTTTTTCGGGTCTAGACCTTTGAAAAGGCAATTTTTCTGATTCTTTTTTTAATGACCCGTTATTTTGTACGAAAATGTTAAGATAGATGACATGTGTTTTTGTAGTATGGGCAGTTGCTCCATGTTGTTTACCATAGCGTTGCATTTTGTCTAAGATTCATGAGTTTTGGCATTAAAAAGGTTTGCAGCATGTCAGCATCTGTACATAACGAGCTGGAGTACGCGAAACCGATTTTTTCTCATCCTCAAAATAGTAAGGACCCCAAACTGCATATCACACTGTTACTCGCCCGCTATGAAGAGGACTTACACGTAGTTATCTAGGGTTACTTATTGTCCAGCAGCGAAAATAATGCTTGTTGACAAAACCAGTAAAATAAAAGTGGCCAACATCACCGGTAATCAAAATATCATTAGCAGGAACAATTTCAGTTTCGGATTTCCTGTTAGTGAGAAAACCTTTCACAGTGAATACACGGTGTTTACCTGTTCGAGCCATATTTACACATCGAAGAATTTCATAAAATTTATTATAAATCACGTGTCATTGAAATCTCAAAAACCAAACAAAATGAAAATTGATTAATAACATTAACAACATTTTTGTGCTCTGGGAACTAGGTCGGCTAGTGTTTGCTTGTGTCTGGGGTACAACAAATAAGCAGGCGGCACCTGGGTTCATCCCGACCCGATATTACTTCAAATTTATTTATGTTTATTAATTAGGTAAATCAGACTTCCAATTGATTAGGATTGATAGTTTATATATACCGTAGTCATATAAATTAGTGCCCACACTTTTTTCAACCATTCACCAATGTATTTTATTTTTGATAATTTTGTTGGATATCTCTACCTCTACTTACGGACCTTAACCAAACTATAACACTGTTTTTTATTTGATACTTTTAAGACCGGTTTGTTCTATGATTCACATACACTATACATACTGGGATGCTTTTGGAAAGTAATACTTGCATCATGCGGAATGTCATTTTAATTCACAGGTTGAAATGTTTTCCTTAACTAATATTGATAATTTCTTTGATTATAACAAAAAGGTTTGCTTCTATCGGTTTCTTTCGTCTGTTTTTTTCTGGTGACCCCAGCACTGGAAACGCTGCCATAATACCGGTACCCCCTGATGTACCAGAATTGTTGCATGCACAAAAAACGTATGCCAATTTAACTGTTCGCAATTGCGAGATATGGTCGGCAGTGATACACGTAACGTGGTTCTCGCGCACCCTATTTCGGTATTTCATTTTTGTAGTTGTAATTGCAAATATCGAAAACCCGTCCCACATAAAAAAGGCAACACTGTCTGTGAAGCTTCTCCTGCAATGTCTGAGTATTTTTCTAAGAGTATAGACCAAAAGACTGCCAATATATTTATTGCAAATAGGCTTTTCAACTCATTATCATTTGGAATTGGAAGTTTTTGGAAGTATGCAAGTTGACAGAAATACCAGTGATGATCAGATACATGAACTATTAGCTACTCTGTTTGTGTACTTTTAAACTGCTAAAATTGAACTTGAAGTCTGTGTACCAAGATAGCGGACACCGGAACGTAGTATGTGTATTGTGTACCAGATTAGAGTTAAGTCATGATTTTATTCCAATTTTCCTTATTTTAGTTCTATTACGAGTTAGGGGACTAGCCATATGCCTCCCGTGGTATTTGTATCTATTAAATTATGGCCTAACCTGGTAGATATACTACGTTCCGGCGTCCGCCATCTTGGTACGCATACTCCAGGAGTACCCAAAATTATATCACAGGTTTCGCAAAAACAACAACATTATGGGTCAAATTGGTGCAATTTTGCCACTGGTAAATTTTAAGCATTCAGATAAACATGCAATAAATTGGAAAAGCAACTATAGTAAATATAGAGTAAATCAATATGACTTTCCGTCTAAAATTCACACATGTACCTATAAAATACAGCTTGGTGGTACAGTATTTAGCACTGGGAATAAAAGTATTCATTTGAGCATGGCCAGCCCGATATCAACACAAGAGTCGGATACCACCATTGTAGCGTTGACGTTACGAGATTTTAAAGCATCATTGACGATGCTTATCTCACTTTCTGATGGATTTTCTGATCTTGTGTAAACATGCACCATTCTTTTACCTGAAATTGCGTTGTTATTATGTAAAAATATTAAAAAATATTAATGATATAAGAATCAAACCTATAATAAATTAGCTCAACAAATGATTTAGTTGAATTTTTGAAATACCTTGTTTTTCTAAATTTTTATAATTCGTTGAAATATTTGTTTGCAAAGTAGGGCGGATGAGCCTATACCAACTTTTCATTTTTCTTTACCAATCCGACGGCACCATGACTAAATATCAGACGTGTTCAAGTGAATATTTAACAAACCGTCCGCTCCACATTGCTCTATCATATAGTACGTATCGTAATCTGTAGAAAACGTTGCAGGACTTTTGTAGCTTTGGAGCAATTCTGAAGAATACAAAATGCACGCTTAATTAAAGACTTTTCTCAACGATTGCGTTGGGTATTAACATGTAAATATGATCTGATTGATGAACAACAATTTTTCAAATGTTGTGTTATATTAAGAATGGAGGTATCTTTAGGCTGTATACTCACCAGTAAAAACATCTGTCACTGCATTGGGTCTCAAATACAAGGTATCCTTCATGTATTTTAATTCTGAAAAATTGGTTTGATACGTTACAAGCTACGAGAGACGGAAGAAATGCAAACTAGTGATATATAAGCATAAATAACCAAGGTAAATCACAACGATGATAGTAGACACAGCGAGTACTTTGTGATTCAATGGGCTATTGAATGTTTAGATAACGATCAATAAAACATTTACATGGTGTCATAGAGACATAGACTGTGCCCTCGAAATAATTGTGGTTGGATATAATTGCATTCTCATGCTATAAGAAAAATAAAATTTTCTCACGTGATACTGGTTGTGGCATGACTGTGCCTGGTCGCATGTTATGATCTTCTTGGTAGTACTCAGGGTAGCTTATCAATTTCGTTTCGGGATCACCACTGAAATGATAAATTATTAATATTGAGCTTACACGAGTCTAGCTGAAACGCCAAACTATTGGCTGCAGTAAACAATGCTCTCGACGAACGAGTTGAGGACGAGCAAAGCACTAGTGAAAGTTTAGTATATATGCTTCAAACATATATATGAGTTATAGATGGTTCGACTGTTTGATAGTTTGAGTCGACTTCAGTTTCTATCTGTCTCTTCATGTGTAAATATATATGTATGTACATACAGAATAACTTCTGGTAAATATCGAAACAACGGCTACTGCGTCGAAAAGAAAAATACTTACTTCCTAGAAATGACGTGTTTCACGAATGCGACGCCGTCTCCAACAATACCGAAATATGTCGTTGCAATACAGAATCGATCGGATGACAAATGATCTCCCTCATGGTTTAAAGTCAGATACCACAACCCTTGTAACTGCAATGTTTTAACAATTATTTCAACTTCATTTCTGGGCTTGTAAAATTGCGCAGAGCTTTATTTGTATGTTGTTCTCTTTCGAGATTACCAAGGAGATTGAGATCCACTTTTTTAATATGAATTTCAGATGGTTTATTCAATAGAGAAAAATATATTTATATGATACTTACTCGGTTCCATTCAATACTTTTGGATGAAAGTATATTACATTCCGAATCCAAGAAAATATTGCCATTAACAACGGAAATTATTAATGACAGTACGTAGATTGGTAGATTCATGTTAAATCTCTTTTATTTACACTACTAAAAATAACAACTATCCGCGGTTGATTATGCGTAATTACTATACATACCAAACGGTCGGTGCGTTTTTGGCAAGCGATAAATTTAAAAAAAATCGGCTTGAATCCAATAATTTGATTATTGATCTCAGAGTATACCACATTTATGACTGCTAGTTTTAATCCTTACTAAAACTAACTTCATATGCCGGCTTTACTAAGAAGTCAATGCAGGTGCATAGAGAAGTTGGTAAGCCATCGTTTATCTGAATCATTTAAACAGAAAATTCCTAAGATATACACTGCAAATATATACACTCGGCGGAATACCCGATATTAAAGAATATAATAAGAGCTAACTGTTATCGTTATTCGTATTCAATATAAATTTCATTTCTACGTCCATGAATTGGGTTACATTTAAGCAGTTTTAAGGTGTCTACCTTATATATATACCAAAATAGAGAAAAAACAATGGGTTCTTTTTCTTTTTACTGTGAAAATTGATGTTTCATGTTATCATAAAAACGTTTAGAGTTATATAAAAATATCCTACAATGAAACAGAAATATTTATAAATACAGTTGTCACGGCTGAGAAGCCAAATTAGAATCAGCGCCAAATTGATGAACACGTTCAAACATGAAGTTTTATCTCATTATTGTGCGATAGCTCAATGGCCGCTTTAACAATTGTTTTCCGCTTCACAGCTTTTATCCATTATAATTGATTGCTGTAGGATTTAGGCAGTATCTATACCTGATGTGCAACGATAACACAGAGAACACTAACTTCAATTAGGAAACTACTAACTGTGTAATTCCTTTACATTGAAAGTTGAGATCAGATCCCGGATCAATATACGCAAGACGATTCTTATTGTGAGTTAATAATAAACACGTTCACCACAGCATACACATAAAATATGAATAAATACGATTATGAAGTTTGCCTCTGTAAACGGAAGCAACAGCTATTGTTGGCAGGTGAATATGAAGTACCAGACATCGTTTTAGGTCACGCTGCCATCATAATCACGTTTGTCTGTCTTATTAATATGTAATTTCGGGATAATTTCAATGAATATTCATGTGTTGTGCAATATAAAGCAAACTATGTTGAACTTACAAAAATACACTTTTTTAATCTCACCGAGAATGTACCTAAATCAGAGGTATTTAGACAATTTTGCTCGTGTGACTGGAATTAGGTAGTCACTGAATATTCATTATTCACAAAAAAAAACAGTTAATATAGATTACGGAAATTTGGTGAATAAATTCGTGTCAAAATACAAGTGACATGCGGGGAAAATACAGACGAACAAAATACAAATTGCAGAGAGTAAGCATTAAAATAAATATTTTAATCTTGACGTAGCCGAAAATGGAGTCGTGACCAAAACATTTCCATACTCTTCTACGTACTTTGTACACGAATAGATTACATGTCGTTTCACACTACATTTTTAGAATTCTTTGCAAGGACTTAATTTTGAATAGAAATATTTCATCTTGTCGTGTTAACATATCAGAATCAATAAATAGCATTAGCTATTTTTATTTCCATACACGATGCAGATTTATAATTAAGGTTGTAAAAATTTATGAATTCGTGGAAAACTCAGTCAACAGAACATACGTCTATCGTTCAGGTCGTTTCATGTTTTTTCAAACATGTCTGATGTACCACAAAAACTTTTTTTTCAAATTCACCCTGTGTGTAGGCTAGTAAATATGTGGCTAACTTCTCTATTTTATGGTTACCTGTACGTATACCGGGGGTGAAATAATAATTGATATATCATTTAAAACAATAATTTAGATAAAAACTTATCGGATTTTCAGCTTGCCGCACACTAACTACAAGATTAAAAAGTCGCGGCACACTTATTACAAATCAGTTTTATTAAATCCCTCATTCGTAAATAATATGCTTTCCGGCAGTAATATATGATCAAAACAAGGTTTCGTGGGTCAATTGTAACAAGTCTTTATCGTTTTTAGCCTTTTAATTCTGTCAGCACATAAAATTAATATTTGCAAAATTATGAAAATGCAAACGGAAAAAATATTTTGTTGTACTATATATATTGCAAGGGTGGCCAACACGCCGATCGCGATAGACCGGTCGATCGCCACGTTTCGAGTAGTCGATCGCGTCGAAAGTTGAATAAATTTACCAAAGTTCCAAGCGAGCAAAGAATCGGACTTGAAGACCACTGTAAATTAGAAGTTCGAGCAGTCATGTAAATTTATGGTTTGAGATTGTTCATTATTCGCTGTTTAGATAATCCATGGATACTTTCATCCAAGGTTTTTGGAGGAATTGAAAACACCTACGACTAAAAATAAGACAGGCCCTATATCTGAATTGTATGATTTGAATAAATTTAAAATAAATGATAAAAAATCTACTCCAGGTACAATTACATAATTAAAAAAGTAACAAATTGAGTGGAATATAAAAAAATGCCAATTTTTGTGGCAATTTCATTGAGAATGCGCCCGCAGAGCCGAGCTTATTAGCAGTAGTGGAATTTTTGTATGCGTTTGTGCGGTTATCTGCGTATTCGTATCCATTCATTTTTTTTTGTGACATTACAACAGATCAGTCGATCGCGAGCTATTTTGAAGATTTTAGTCAATCGCGGTCGGAAGCAGGTTGGCCACCCCTGATATAACGTATTACTGATATACTGACAGAAAACTTGGGGACAATTTAACAACTGGAAATATTTCACGTGAAAACATGAAATGTGAAAAGTTATGAAAGTAATATCACTTCAAAAGTCTCTTCAGTTTCATAACTACTGAAAGTTTGAAGAAAATTGCCTATAGTTAAACTTGCATTGTTGGGTTGGGGTCGAAAACGCATAACGCCCTATATATTAGAGAATTGTGGCATATCACATCACCTGTCGATGGACATAATTATAAATCTTTATACATGGTGATACAAAAAACGGAATCCATACAAGAGCCTATGTTCCAAATGGACTGGATTCCGTTTTTGGGGTCACCCTATATATGTGTGTTAATGAACTGAACCCGTTGCTGATTGCAATATAAAAAAGTTCATGTTGCAGTTTTGAGTATTGTGGAAAAATCTCGGAAATTCTGTAAAAATCTGCGGCACACTTTCAGGACCGTGGCGACACACTACAGTGTGCCACGGCACACAGTTTGGGAAATCCTGGGATATGCCAACTAACACGACTGGTTGATTATGTCGTAATAGTCTTTCCTGAACGTAAAATCTGAAGTTTGATAAAACTAACCGCCACAATAACACGTCTTTGGTATAAGTTCCACTCGACACCGCGACACAGCAATTCAGTGCTTGTATGATACAGTTGTTCAAATAGATCATACTCATGTTTGTGACGATATGTACACTATTTTTCAACTTTTTCCGTTACCAATGTCTCCATCGACGATACTGGGACTGTGTAGAATGAAATTAGATTAGAATGCTTCAAAATTTTGCGGGTTGTTAGTCGAACAGGAAATTATAGAGAGAGAGATATTATTATTTCGTCAACCAAAAATACAGTCATCAATAAAATAGCGCTAACAAATAATATTGTTTTGGTATGGACTGGAGGGAGCGATGCGGTCATCGAAGTCAGCTCCCACCATATACGCTGATGTGATTAAGATTAACACTGAAAGATGACCAGTGGCAAAAATAAAATTAGGGGATTCCTGGGTAAATGCATTGTTATGAACGTTTGTTTTTAAAGGAAAAAAAAAGAAGAAAATCAAAAAGGGGGTGTCCGGTGTTGCATTCATTAAAAATTAATCTAAAGCACCCAGAATGATGTGATGGGAATTTATACTTATCTGAAAACTAAATTACTAAATTCAATGGGGTTTGGACGTTAATAATCAGAAAAAATGGATATATATACACAGTGGATCAGGGACAAAAATTTTATTGTGATGAGAATGTGAAGAATAATTTAGTGCAACTCAGTGATACATACACAGTATTGAAAAAAGTAACACACTGGATAGGGCAAGAGGAATTTTATTCATAGGGTTGTCATAATCTGAAAATGTTTGAAAAATTGCAAAAACTTCATTATATAATATATATGTTTGGGATATTTAGAAACTTTCAAAAATGTTAATACTTATAAGTATACCTATAAAATATAATGTTGATGAAATAGAATGAGTATACAATACGCATATTAAAATATGTAGTACCAGTAAAGTGTATTATTAAATAGCAAATCTGACAACAAAATTTTCAAATGTTGACCTCAAATACATGGTTGCATAAAGACAGAAATTGATTAGCTGCTTGCTGAGAATGAGTTGACTAGACATGCATATTTGGTTTTATAGGAATGTATCAGCTCAAGAGCTAAATGCATGGTATTATAATTGTTCCACTCTACCGCAGGTTGAGCGCTTATTTAAAATCTTTAAAGCTAACATTGAAATATATTTTTGTAACTTGTGCTTTCTTAAAATTATTTCTACTTCATGGGATCCTTTGACTGTTAAAGTATTTATTTTCAAAGTGCTGTGTTGTATGTTAATTCACATAGGCTATTTATCGAGCTTTTATTGTTTGCTAGCCTTTCTTAATAAAAACGAAACCGAATGATTTTCAGATTTACTTTAGAAAATTGCTAGAAATGAAACTGTTTCATTCAGTCTCGAATATGCACTACGTAGAGTGCAATTTTTATGCAAACGAGCGCTTAAATAATGCCAACAATTCTTCCACATGGCTGGTTATTGGAATGGCAGTCAAATAAAGTTTTCAATTGCCGCTATAAAAATAAAGCATATAACTTTGAAAAATAGAGTGTGGATTTTTTATCTTTTCCCGTCGTTTTCAGATTTTCATTGTTTGGATACAGAAGCAGAATGTAACCTTAAATATACACTTTAGGAAAATAAAACAGTGAATGGACGTCAAAGAACTGTTAAATCACACATACGTATTCCCTGCATTACCCAGCTCAAACTCTACTACGAATACG